GGCTAGAAAAAATTCCCAAAATTTTATTATTTATTTCAGTGAGATTAAGGGATTAGGTTAAAATTTTAGATTTTTTTAATCGTTGTGTTTAGTAAATATTTTATTATTTATTTTTTAATAGATGTCACATCGTCATCAAGCTATGTCAGCAAATTCATGGAAATTTCTAGTTTCCATAGTAGCAGAAGACTAACAGTTTTGTTAGTCAAACGGACTTTGAGGGCTACATTGATGCAAAAATAACATAGGGGCGAATATGATAAGTTAGGTATACTACAGGGGTAAAAGTAGCCCTTAAACCTTAATTTTTTAACGGCAGATGACTAAAAGGGAACTAAAACGTAATGTTAGGAATAATTTAAAAAATAATTGGGTGACCAAAATAAAACCGAGAAAATAATTAAATAACTAAATACATAATTTACCCTAAAACTATTAAGAAAAAAGATCATGAAACATGTATCACAAAATAAACAAGAACTTCATAAAACATACTATATCACAAAATAACAATTATTTTAAGATATATTTATTTGTTATGATTGTATTTATTTTTTACATACCACACCCACTAAAATATAGGCATAATGCCAAAATTAGTCCCCTAATGTTTACCAAAATGGTCATTTTGTCCCCTATTATTTTTTTGGAGTATTTTGACCCCTAACATTTCATTTTAGGAAAAAAATACCCCTAATATTTGACAGAATAATCACTTTGTCCCTTATTATTATTTTCTGAGGCATTTTAGCCCTCAACGTTTCATTTCAAGTTAAAAAGGGTCATTTTTTGGAGTGTTAATCGTGTGTTAAATAATAGTTTTCATCTATAGAGGGAGTTTTTTGCCCTAAAGTGAAATGTTGGGGCCCAAAATGCTAAAAAAAAGAATAGGGGCCAAAATGATCATTTTAGCAAACGTTAGGGGCTATTTTAGATATTATGCCTAAATATACTATTGCATACACCACTTGGAAGAAATATAGTAAATATTTTCACTAAGGAATTTATTCTATAAAATCTTTGATCCAAATGCATTCTAAAAAATTCTAATTAATTTTTCGGTGAGAACCTTCCTACTTTGTCTTCACTTTTTTTTCGTATCTACCACAACCACTATGGTTTCTCAATTAAAGTAATATGAAATTTCTAAGTTTGGTGTTTACATTGTCTAACGTGAGCTTCACTTTACAATTCTATATATTTTGTTTATTATTATTTTATTTTTAATTAATATTTAAAATTATATTTATGTTATTTTTAATTAATATTGAATTATATTTATAATTTTATAAAAAACTTTGACATTACAATTAGAAGTGGATGTAGGTCAACTGAATAGAAGATAAGCAATATATATATATATATATATATATGAGTTAAGATCAAATTATACAATGTAAAACTTTTTAGTTTTACACAGATTTAGGACCGTTAGATGAATAAAAATAGATGGCTGAGATTGACTCATTGATTTTTTTCAGTGAATATTTTCTCATTTTCTACTATTAATCTTAACCATTTATTTTCACTCATCCAACGGTCATAAATTTGTGTAAAACTAAAAGAGGTAACATGATCTTATCCCTACATATATATATCGGGTTAAGATCCACTTACACCTATGTAAAACTAAAAAGTTTTACACCTTTTTCGGATCGTTAGACGAGGAGAAATCAGATGTTGTGATTAACAGTATGAAATGAGAATATATTCACTGGAAAATGAAACAAGGAGTTAATCACAACCTTTGATTTCCTCTCCTCCAACGATTCTAAAATAGAGTAAAACATTTTAGTTTTACATAGGTGTAAGTGGATCCTAACCCTATATATATCAATTTTTAATATTATATAATTATTGGTATTATGATTTGAAATTTTTATTTTTCATAATATTTGTATTTAAATATATTGTATGAAATAAAAATAATTATTAAATAAAAAGTTTAAAAATATATATACACATGCAACGTAAGTGTTAAAAAACTAGTAAAGAAAAAGTAAGTAGAATATATAGAATAAAATGTAATTTTCATTGATAATATTTTGTTTAAAGTGGTTTTTTTACAAGATAGAAGTTGTAAATTTTTTAAAAAAATAGAAAATATCTAAATTATAATAAAAAATTATAATTTTGTAAACTAAATATATAATAAAGACATTTTACTATAATTATTAAAATAAAAAAAACTAGCTACATAAGATCACGCAAGGATCATACAAGGAAAATGTTTAAAAAAAACTAACCAAATAGACTCAAATAAAAGGTAGTTACAAACAGATCTGACCGAATCGACAAACGAATCACAAAAATAGATCAAACTATTGAAAGACCACTGAAAAAAAAAATCAAAATCAAGCGACGTAAATAAACTATCTACGAACGCAAATAGCACATCCAAATTCAATATGAAGATCCAAAGCATGAAAAATTAGTATGATAACAAATAAGTGATATCTTGATTAGTCGTGGCGATATCAAATCCAACACTGAGAAAATGGATAAACAAAAATAACAGTCAAAAAATTAAAAATATGCCAAAAGGCATAGATAAATACGCCATAAAGGTAGAAGAAAATGTGCCGCATAATTATTAAAAATTAAAAAACAAAAATAAAAAAGGATACAATATAACAAAAGAAAAAAAAGAAAAAAACAATAAATATATACTGGTGATCGACGATCAACACTAAGATTAATATATTTAAAGCTTGTTTGATAACTCACTTGATATATATATATATAAAAGTTAGGATCCATTAACACCCAGCATAACATTTTTAGTTTTACACATTTCTAAGACTGCTGGATGACGGAAATTAAAGGCTGAGATTAATTCCCTCTTTTTTCGAATGAATATATTCTCATTTTCTACTATTAATATCAGTCTATGATTTTCTTCATTCAACTCTCCTAAAAAGGTGTAAAATTGAGTTTTACACTGGATGTAATTAGATATAATTACATAGTGTATTTTATTTTAATTTTATACAGATTTAAAATCATTAGATAAATAGAAATAGAAGATTGAGGTTAATTATTTTTTCAGTAATGTAAAACTTAAAAATTTTAAATTATGTAATTGCGTCCTCTATCTATATATATAATTCAATAAAATTTTCAGTAGTTTGTTCTTTTATGCAAGTTTGTATCAATTATTTTTGTGTCACGTTGCCAATCACATACTTATTTTAGTTTTGTATAATGATTTTATATCATATTTTAATTCTTAATTTTCTTTGTAACGTCAAATATTTGTCCTTTTACGTAAAGAAATTAAAAATATTTTAAAATTATAAAAAATGTTAAAAATATATTTAAAAATAAAAAAATCTTCGTAACGTCAAATATTTGTCCTTTTACGTAAAGAAATTAAAAAAATATATATTTAAATTATTAAAAATTATAAAATACAAAAACCTAAATATATATATATATATATATATATATATATATATATATATATAATATTACTTTTACGAGATGAATTCAAGAACAAAAAAATATCATTACTCTATTAAAAAAAATTTCACAAGTATTTCGTCAGTTATAAGAAAAGCCCAATTAAATCATAGAAAACCTTTTGATCATTGAATTGATTAAAATCATACACGAGAAGAATGATAGATTGAACTATACTATTTTTTAATTATTATTATTTTATCTTCCGGTTTTAAGACTTCACCTTAATTAATATTGATCGATCTGTGTCGCAGACTTGATTTTAATGGACAAGTCTCATAGTAGAGATTTTTTATATATACAAGAAATCAAATTTAAAACTTTACTTATGTGATATAAAGCTGCTTAACATATAAATCAATCCTTATTAATATGCTTATTTTAATTATTGAAATAACCCGAACTGTATATAAAAATTTAATTATATTAAAAGTTAAAATATAAATCTAATTTTTAAACATCAAATTGAATTTTGCTACCCCTGTCGTACGGTCACTATCGTTGATGCTTTTGGCGTTATGAAATTTATTTCCTTTTTTTATTGGTTTTATTTCAACTAAGGCCCACATAAATAAAAGAAAATGGGTAATCAGACGTGTAATCACCTCGGACTGAGAAGGTGATAACACTAGAATGTTAATTTTAGGAGTTAATTGATCATATGTCCCTGAACTATAACTCTTTTTTAAAATTGGTCTTTAAACTTTTACATATTCTAACTTTATCCTTAAATTACAACTCTCATTTTAAATTAGTCTTTAAACTTTTAAATATTTCAATTTCATCCCTAAACTATGACTCTTTTTCTAAATCGGTCCCCAAACTTTTTGAACATTCCAATTTCATCCAAACATGTAATTATTCTTAAATATAGTTTAACCTAAATTTTGTTTTCCCCCAAAAAATATAATAATATAACTTGACCTATCGATTTTATTAACAAGGAATGCGATTAGTATATTACGTATAGTTTGGATGAAATTAGAATGTTTAAAATGTTTGGGGGGCTAATTTAGAATGAATGTTATAGTTTGGGGATGAAATTAAAATATTTGAATGTTTGAGGACTAATTTAGAATGATAGTCATATGTTTAGGGATAAAAGTAGAATATTTAAAAGTTTAGGAACCAATTTAAAATAAAAGTCATACTTTGAGAACATATGATGCAATTAATTCTTTTTTAGTATAGAAAAGGTGATTGCAATGTAGGAATTCAATCCGATGAATTTTTTCGAATTCAAATTCTTTAAAAAAATTAACATTTTCTTTTACTACTGAAATTATTCAATAAATTTTATTGGATGCTAATAATCTTTGTGGTAAATGGGACAAAAGTGATAGTTTAAGGGATAAATTACAATAGTGTAAAGTGTAAGAATAGGTATCCTTAAAGGGCTATATAATGGATTTATCCTTTTATTACTTTAAAAAAGATTTCGTGCAGATTTATTTACTTATGGAAGGTGGAAATAGTAATTCAACAGTCGGTAGGCCCACTACTCGTTTGGTTTTTGCATTGCTAGCTGTTTCGTTCTTTTAGATTTAGCCTCAAGCAGTAGTATAAACAATAACCGAAGCTCAGCAAAGCAAATCCAAAGCGAAGAAAAGGTGTGTTTGTGCTCTGAATTCTGCAATGGCGGGCGTTATAGGATTCGTGGGGTTGGACCAACTGAGCTTGGACATGGCTGCTTTGCTTCTTCGCGCTGGCTACAAAGTCCAAGCTTTTGAGGTTCCAAATCACAACTTTTTCCTTTTCAATATTTTGCCAGTTGACTATTGATGAACTCAATTGATTTTGAAATCTCAGTTCAGTTCTTGATAAAACCATTGTTGTAAAATGAATAAATTGGGAAATCGGAATATTAGTTATTTAGTATCATTATTATTTTTGGAAGGAAGATTCTTAGTTAATTCAGTTGCAGTGGCAGCTGTTCTATGTTTGGATGAAAAGAAAGAGAAAGGGAAGTGAAGTACAAGAGAGGAATTTCAGAAAGAGGGAAGGATTATATTGTATCTTGTTTGGGTAGTTAAAGTTAATGAAGGAAACTAAAGTAATTTTAATAGTTTTTGTTTGGCTAAAGGGTGAAAAGGAAGTGATTGATTATAATGCAATTTTAGAAACATAATATTTTCATTAGAATGATCTAGAGAAGAAAAAAGAGATAAAAAATTAGATACTTTACAACTTAAAACATCTTTTTACTTTCACCAACTTTAACTCAAACTGGACTAAATGTGATTTTAGTCTTTTAATACAAAGTATGGGATACTCAATTTCGTTCCTTTCCCCCTCTAACTCCAATCCAGACATAGGATACGACTCCATACTTAAGAACTGGAATGCATTTTGTTATTTAATCCATTGTGGAATTTTGATACAGATGGGTGCTTGAAAAAGTTATTACATGTTAAAGTACATAGATTCATGTTATAAGAATAGTTTCAATAGGCGGACCTGACATTTGGCAACATAAAGTTGCAATGTTAGAAATTTGCATCTTTGATATTCGATTCTATGGTGCTTGGGACTTTGGGTGTCATATGCAGACATGTAATTGACACGTCAGCATTTAATTTTTCTTAATATATTTGGAGTGTTAGTCTTCCTGACCAATAATTTGATGAGATTTTTTTTATATTTACTTACAAGTGGAACCTTTTTTTTACCAAGATTTATGAAGTTAATCTTCAAGATGAGATTCCAAATCTCATTGTTCATCTTGATGTTTAATTTTTTTAGGGTTTACTCATGTGTGGCATTCCTTCAATGGTGAAGCTTCCATTATTGCACCATGACTGACATTTCCTCTGCTGCTGTTCTATTTTAGATGTAGAAAGAGGATCCTAAATTTTTTGGAAAGCTACAAGTTTGCATTTGTAACCAAACCAGATACATTATAAGTTGGACTTCATGAACCAGAAGTTTCTGTTTTCAGGAAACAAATTATCCAGACTCCCTCCTATAAGCTGCAATGTGGTTAAATATACATGAGGAACCAAGTGTTAACATAATATTTTTATGAAACCTTGCTCAAGGTCAATTGTGCAAGAATTTATCCAACTTTTATGTGTAGCATTTCGGCTTATTAGTGATTACTTAAAGAAATACCATCATATTTATCATGATTTTTGCAAGTCTAATATCTTTCTTTTCATAATTCTCTCCTGTTCATACATTTATTTTGGATTTTCATTGCATAACACCAGAACAACCTTGTAATTTGAAATTCATTTTGAGAGCTTTAATTTCTGTTCCGCTGCAACTTTCTCCATCTGCAGGTCCAAAATCTTTTGATGAATGAATTTTTGAAGTTAGGGGGAACTGAATGCTTGAGCCTTAGGGAGGCAGCGAAAGGTTATGATGTTAAACACCTTTTTCTTGTTGTTATTGCTATTATTATTATTATTAATTGTTTTTTTTTTTGGGGGGGGGGGGTTGTGTGAAACCCAAATTTATGCACAAGGGAACACTTGGATCTACACTTGAGCCAAAGTTTCAAGTTCCACTTACTTTGGATTTTCTTTCTAATTGTTTCTTGGAAAGCTCTGCTATGTTTTTTTTAAAAGCTTTTAAGATTAAGAATAGGCTATTAATATAATGTTTGCATTGACAGTTTCAACTGCACATTTGCAATTTTACAATAAGTTGGTTTTCATTTCTTAATGAGGGAATTTCATGAGCCAAGATAAGTGATCTTGATATTTACAAGGTGTAACAGCACAAAACAATGCTTCATTTTAGAAGAATGATAGACAAATATATGTGCTCAACTAATTGGAAAATAAAAAGTAATATAAAATTAATAGTGTTTTGACTGTAATGACTAACAAGTGAGTGTCTTGGGTAGTATGCTACAATAGAAGATGAGTTCTTTTATATCAGAAGATTCTCAGAACCAGAAAATTCATTTCATAGGGGATTGGCAATCTTTTATTGCTAAGACAAGCTGACAGCCATTGCCAGTTAATCTCTGGTTAGAAAGAGGCATCTGAATTGTGTATAAATGGTATTTTTCTGTCTGATACAGCACAGAAACTATGAGTAAAACTGAAAATTTGACAACTATTACCAACAAACCCTGTAGTTGGGAGGTTCTATAGTAGCACTGTGTCTTAGATGCAAGCCAGGAACCTTGATTACCATATGAGGTTGCAATGATTTGTTCACTGACCTTTGCCCATTAAGGTGGTGCCAGATCTGTTTTTGGAAATAAGGGACTAGAGATTCTGAAACTGTTTTCTAGGGAAGACTGCTTGGACCTATTGATCAGAATGATCTGCTGCTTGGAGCCTGCTTTGATGTGATTGGTATAGGGTGATGTCTATTCATTTATATTCCATATGCAGTTATACAAGAATATTGTCAAAAGAAGTATATTTGTGTCTGTTTTCAATTGTTATCATTTTTCTTATTTTTAAAAAAAAAGTGTATAATCCATTCAAATTTATTCGAATCACAATGAAATAAGTTGGTGGTCAACCCTCTGATCCTTTTATTTTTAATTATCCTATGCAGGTGTTTTGGCTTTAATTGTCTTAATATCTCATGGGGATCAAATACATGATGTAATTTTGGGTCATGATGGTGCTTTAGAAGGTCTTTATAAAGCTTCTTTGTATTTTTGTCAAAATAATTTTTACTCACTTTGTTTTTAGGTAGATCATACATGTTTATGAAACTTTCAGGGTTACAGAAAGATGCAGTCATTATTCTTTATTCGACCATATTGCCGTCACACATCCAGACTTTGGAGAAGAATCTCAAAGGTAGTTGTGGTTTTAACATTTTTGGGTTGACATGATAAAACATCTTTTGGGAATAATAGTTTGTTCTTCATTTGGTTCTCGAGAATTCTTGTTTACTGAAACCAGTACTGAGTACCCTGCTACTATTTTGTGTTTGTTTAGAAACCAGCTAAAGCATTCCAACATAGATGTTCTTCTCTTACATCATCTATTCTTAGGTGGCGTTTGGTTCGCATGAATCTCTTGGAATTAGGGGGAATTGGAATCCAATTCCACAACTTTCCAATGTTTGGTTCAAGTTTTTCCTAGAGAATTGAAATCCCTCATGGCTTCAACTTTCCATCAAATGAGGGAAAGTGAATTTCATCCTTTCTATGATGGAATTCAATTCCCTTATTGGAGGGAATTGAAATTTGACTATACTACACTCATTAATCTTTTGGTAACTTATTCATATATTAAATAAAAATATTTTTTTATTATTTCGGATCGGGTCGAGTTTCTAATTCATATATTCGGGTCGGGTCAGGTGAAACTTTATTTTGGTCGGGTCGGGTCGTTTTTTTAAGTGTGATATTCGGGTCGGGTCGAGTTCGGGTTTAGGGTGAAAAATACCCGACCCGAAAATATATATAATTTTACCTTATATATTTAAGAATAATTACAATAATACCCCTTTATATATAATTTTTTTCAATTAAGTCTGTTTTTATTGAATAAAAATAATTTTTTTATTATTTTGGGTCGGGTCGGGTCGGATTTCTAATTCATATATTCGGGTCGGGTCAGGTTGGTTTTTTTAAGTGTGATATTCGGGGTCGGGTAGGGTTCGGGTTTAGGGTGAAAAATACCCGACCCGACCCAAAAAATATATAATTGTACCTTATATATTTAGGAATAATTACAATAATACCCCTATATATATATTTTTAATTAAGTCACTATTTTTATTGAATAAAAATATTTTTTTATTATTTCGGGTCAGATTTCTAATTCATATATATTCGGGTCGGGTCGGGTGAAACTTTATTTTGGTCGGATCGAGTCTCAGATGGAGGTTCCTTTGTTCTCGGGTCGGGTCGGGTGGACCAAAAACCCGACCCAACCTGACCCATGGTCATCCCTAATTGGGATGATTTTAACTTATGATGTTTATTAGCATGATTTTTATAATTTATTGAAATAAATAATCAATCAGTAAAATTAATATTTTTTAATTTTTATAATATATTGCTATATATTATTTATAAAACAAACTAAAATTAAGCAAAAAAGAACAATAAGGGCAATCTTGTCATTTTACATTACTGAAATCAAATTCATCTGACATGTTTGCGAACCAAACAGAATATGAAATTGAATTCCAATTCAATTCCTGACAACCAAACAGAATATGAAATTAGATTCCAATTCCTGACAGATTCCAATTCCTTCACAGATTCCAATTCCCTTAGAAACATTCCAGCGAACTAAACGCCACCTTAGAGTTTAAAATTACTATGTTATGAGGACATTTTAGGATGTTGAAAAATCAGTTATTTTTTCATGTTTATTAAGCCTAAAGTAGTTGATCATAAATTTTAAATATTTCTCCGTTTTCTACCTTAATCTTCTTTATTGCCCTGTTATCCCTTCTAACCTGGAAAATAAGACTTCCTTTCTCATTGGCTTTCTATTATGTTACAGAGAATGGTCTGGCAACTTCAATAGTGGATGCATATGTCTATAAGGCAACATCTGAGAACTTAAATGGAAAAGTTGTGGTAATAATGTATCTAAACCTTTATCTTCATTCCCTTTTCTGGCTTAGCTGTAAGTATACTGGGCCAATCTTTGTGTTATTTTTATTTATCATTTTTTCCCTTTTATATTCTGGGAATTTTGAAGAAAGATATAGAAAAGGGTAAACTTCAATCTAGCTATGGTATCGTATCCTAAGGAATTTTATGAAAGTTTTAAGAAACTATATTCAATAAAATATATTAGGTAAAGAACTGAGTTTAAATAGAAAAAAAAAACTCACAACATAATTGGGAAAAATAATTCCCTTATTCTAGTAAACTACTAAGAGATTCAAAGTCTTGCTAAAAAATCTCAATTGCTTATTCTAAGTTTATCTAAATAAATTAAAAATTATCCGAACATATATGGGAGTTCAGCAAATATTTCGATACCCTTGGAAAATTATCTCAAAGTAGTTGTTCCGACGGTAGAGCTTTGTACCTCAGTTTGGTTGCTGGATCTCTTATCTCCAGTGAAGGCTGTTTTAAGCACGATGTTACTGGAGATTTAACTTAGCTCTGATACCATGAAAGTTTTAAGAGATTATATTTAGTAAATTGTTATATCTTTTTATTAGGTAAAGAACTAAGTTTAAATAGAAGAAAAACTCACAACATAATTGGGAACATATTTCTCATATTCTAATAAACTACTAAGAGATAAAAAGTCTTCCTAAAAAAATCTCAATTGATTATTCTAAGATTATCTATCTAAATAACTTAAAAATTATCTCAAAATATATGGAAGTTCAACAAATATTTCAACATTTTATTCTTGGTCTCTGTTGAAGTCCTAAATAATTTCTTATAAATGTTTTTAGGTTGTATCCTCAGGAATGTCTGATGCCATTTCCAAGGCTTACCCTATTCTCTCTGGTATTCTTCAATTTACAAACTAATTAGCTATAAATGAGTTTCACTTCTGTAGATTTATCTTTTAAAACCGTTGGTTATATTTGAGTCTTTGAGATGCATTCTTGATTTTTCTTTTTGCAGCAATGTCCAAAAAGCTTTACATTTGTAAAGGTGAAATTGGAGCTGGAAGGTATTTTTTTCATCTTGACCTGCTGCCAAAAAGTTATACAGATTTTTCTATAAGATTACTGACATCAGTGACATGGTAATTCAGTTCCATAATAGAGGACTGTTTCATCAATCTGTCACTTTCAGAATGAAATTGCTTTAAAAACATTAAATATTTTCTGATGGTCTTCAAAGCCCTAAATTTTCTTTCGGGTCTTAGGTTTCTTAGTTCCTGTTTGTTGCAGCAAAATTAAATTGGTCACTGAGCTGCTTGAGGGCATTCATCTTATTGCTGCTGTAGAAGCTATATCTCTTGGTGTTAAAGCTGGGATCCATCCATGGATAATCTATGACATCATTTCAAATGCTGCTGGAAATTCTTGGTGATTTATGCTTCTATTTACTCTTAATATATTCCTTTTAAAATTGTTGATGGCTTATTATTTCTGCTCTGGGTTCTTGATGTCTGCCTTCACATTGAAAAAAGTTAAACCCCATCTGGTGCATACTTTATACTATCATATATCATATATGATATGAGAAATGATAGATTCCTTATGCTTGATTTTAATTGAGCTGTGAACTGGTTCCCTTATTAATGCTCAGAGGAGATGTAGTAGGTAGGGAGGCTTTAAGGCTTGCATATAAGGCTTGCAATTGGGGATTGGAGCTGTTTGTTTATGTTTTTGGTTTAGTCTTTCCGATGGCTTGTAATTTACTCTTTTTACTCTCTATCTCAGTTGCACTAGAGTTGAAAAATCCTAAGGGAATTGTGACTTGTTCTATGATCTCCATGGTTGAGATAAATTAGTAAAGATTTAGGATATGCTTGGTAGTGTGGAAAAGTGAAATGAAAAGAGAGAAGAAAGAAGGAAAGATTATCATTTTCCATAACTATTAACAAAAAATAATCACTTCAAATTGGAAAGAAAAGATGAAACAAAATGAGTGTAGCTTGAGTCAAGTATGTATATTTACAAGATCATCTATCAGTTTTGTTCATTTTATTCATCATAACTACAAAGAGTCAAAGACTATAATGGTAAAACAATGTATTTTTCGCTTTTTTTCCTTCCATTCTTAAACATGCGAAGAAATGGGTGATAGGAAATTATTTTTCTTTCCAATTTTCCATCTTCCTACTAAGCACACCATAGAAGGAAAAAATATGTATTTTCTTTCTTTACATTTTTCTGTTGTTTCTCTTTTCATATATTTCCATTATTCTATCCGCTCTACCAAGAAAAGCCTTAGGTTTTTGTTAGTCTCTAATATATTTTTGGTTAGTCTCTATAATATAATAGGATATGAAGTGACTGCTTTAGGAGATGTACATATACATGTACCTATATTCTGTAAATTTCATAAGAAGGTCACAATATGTAATGAAAGTTTAAATTACATTCACTACATTGTTTTAACTTGACCTCATGCATTGTCAATAGGAAATGAGGTCCTTTTGTCCTATAATTAGTGAATAAATGAATGTTAAGTAGAAAATGAAATTTCATGCATTTTATGTATTAGTACTAAAACTGCTAACTTTTCCTTGTCATTGGAGCTATTCTGTTGAGAAAGAGTTTTGAGAGAAAAAAAGTTGTTGAGAAGGAGAATATATTTTAGAGAAAAGAGTCTCTTATCTTTTCCATACATTTTGTTAGTTACAATTCATGCTAAAATTCTAAAACAGGAAACTATAGCAAAGCTTGATATTTGGTCCTAATTCAGGGCACTAGTACAAAATGCAACAATTACTCCTAAATTATCTCTACGAACTACTAATCAACAAAATTATTCACAAAACCCCTCTAACTATAATTGCTAACACTAGTCAACTTGAATTCCACACATTCTCTCTTTTTTTTTATAGGAATAGAAGGCCTCATTAAAAACCTCCCTCATAGTTGCCTCTTGTGTGGAGACAAATAGCGGAAGGAGGAAAAGAGTGCCTTAATATATTAATAACCCATAATTACATAAGATTACCAAACATTACATAAAATTGCCTAACATAGAAACATAACCAAAATAATACACCAGACCCACAACTCATAACAACAACCTCCTCACTCACTAACCAATTCCTGACTTAGCTAGACAATCAACTTCCACATTAATACATCTGCTGATATGCTTAATAATAACATTAGACTGCAATGAAAGAAAAAAAAACTATTCCAGTTTATTAGGGATTAATGAGAAAATAAACAAAGTCTGCAGCAATGACATTTATAATGATTCTTCAATAATGACCATAGAGGAATTAATGGATATCTCTTTCGGGACAATTCTTATCTAGTTTTTTGTCTAATTTTATGCTTAGACTGAATAAACTATCACGAGTTAGAAAGTGACATTCAAAAAGCTGGACAGGTTTTTATTGGACGTGTGGAATGTGCTAATATGACTCAACATGTCTTACTATTCCAGATTTTTTTTATGATGAAGATTACTCCAGATAGTAAGTGCTGCTGGCAGGTAGAGTAGAAGTCATTTAATTTGAAGATGCAAGTAATGAAACCCAAAGAACACATTAGATGCGTGATGAATACTGTGATATAGAGGTCCCTTTTCTTCTGTCAAATGTGACTAATAAGGTCTCCATTGCAAGTTTCTAGAAAAATGCATTAAATGGATAGTAATTTCTTGTAGCCTCGTCTCTCAGGTGGTTCATTAGCACTTTTCTTTTTTGATGTTTTCCCTGATGAATGAATTCAAACAAACAATATGGTTGGTTAATTGAGTTTTAATTATGTTGTTGCCATGTATGCAGGGTTTTCAAGAATTTTATACCACAGCTGCTCAGTGGCAATGTCAAATATCATTTCTTGAATCCTTTCACTCAGAAATTGGTAAGTTTATGTACAATGATGGATAATTTCCTTTTTTATTGTTTTGTTTAGCTGGGTTACGGAGACTGACCGGCCTTAATTTTTTTTCCTAATAAGTATTTTCTGCACACTTAATACTTTTCTGCTAATTTTTTGGAACTTTATATAACCTTCAGGTAACACTTTCTACTTAGAAGTAACTAAAATTTGTAGTTATTAGTTATCTGGAAGACGCAACTTATGTACGTCATAATTATAATGCTGAATTTAAGGTTCCATAATAATCTTTGTTCTTTGTTAGTAGATGTTAAACTAATATGTTTTCAGATAGACATTCCACTATATTACATCAGCTTGTTTTTGTGGCATTCCAATGTAATTAATCTCTTTTTCTCTCCTAAATTCAAGGGTATTGTTTTGGATATGGCCAAATCGCTTACTTTTCCTCTCCCACTTTTGGCAAGTGCTCATCAGCAACTGGTTCTTGGTACTAATATAGTATTTTCTTTTCAATTTAAGTCCATTGGTAGTGGTGATTTATTTTGGTTCACAGCAACTTTTATTTCTTAGCTACCTGATGTCTCCATTTTCAGGATCTTCACTTGGTGCTGGAGATGATAATACCCCATTGGTTCAGGTTGTTACATGTAATTCTGTTAATGAATTGATGAGCCACATAAGCTGGCTTTTGACAAAACATTAAGGTTTCTCTTTCTAAAGGGGGAACATTGTGATGTTTTTCTAATCTAAAACTAACTTTGCTCGTCACACCTGTGCTGTGTGATTGGTGAACAGGTTTGGGACCAAGTATTTGGAGTGAACACTGTAGATGCTGCCAATGCTGAACGCTATAACCCAGAGGAACTTGCAACTCAAATTACTTCCCAATCAAAAACTGTCAAACGAGTTGGTTTTATTGGTCTTGGAGCAATGGGATTTGGCATGGCAACTCACCTTGTGAAGTCAAATTTCTGTGTTATTGGTTATGATGTAAGTGCTAACTACTGTTTGTTTTGGATCACGTGTCCTTTTCTTGACGCCTTAGGTTATTTTTCTCCCACGTCTTGTTCAGCATCCAACCTAAAATTAGTTGTCAATAGGTGAAAGGGCCCAACCTGAATATAAGACGACTACAAGAAACACAACTTGATAACAACACTTTTTTTTTATAAGAATTGAAGGCCTCGTTAAAAACCCCTTTCGTAATTAATGGAGCTTGGAGAAAGCTCCTTAATCATTGGAAGGAGGAAAAGAGCGCCTTAGGATTTTATTCAACAACATAAAATACATAAGAAACAACCAGGACCACACCCCCATCAAACCATAAACAACATAAAGCGCTCGAAACCCAAAGCAAACCAAAACTATAACAGAAACCTACTCAAAATCGACACAGCAGTACCCTAGATCAGAGGGAGAGTCCTGATTCCCAAACTAGCAATACTATTACAAAGGATCAACCACAACAAACCCATCTAAAAAGCACAAAACATTACAAGAAGCCTGTTACACTTAACTGATCCCCTGCTTAGCTAACCTGTCAGCCTCCAAATTACAGCTCCTAGGAATCCATCTAAGAACGACCCCCTTAGCAGTAATAAGAGCTTCAATATCCTCCACCAGATCACTGAAAAATGAAGGGGCAGGTTGCAGCTTTAAAATCCAATCCACTGCACATTTGCAGTCGCTCTCAATAATAAGTCTTCCCTTCTTAGCCCAATTTGAAGAATAGAAAAAACCCAATCCTTCCTTAATAGCTTTCAGTTCAGTCAAAATAGGCAAACCAGGCCTTACTGCAGAAGAGAAAGAAGCTAAAGAGCCGCTGAAAGAGTCTCTCAAGACACCACCAATACCCCCTTGCATCCCATCGCCAGTCACTGCTCCATCAACATTGAGTTTAAACATATCCGCTGGAGGAGGAGACCAACCAATAACCTTCTTAGGACCATAAGTAATGAGTAAAGAATCTGCCCTCGTAGGATCCCCTACTAAAAGGTCTGTCTGAATCTGAACCGAAGGATGTTTAGCTAAGAACCATTTCGCCAATCTAAATCTAGTGATAAAATACAAAACTGAATTGTCACATTTTCCATTTTCAAAAACAACCAGATTTCTTGCTTCCAGATTGACCAGAAAATAACAGTCGGAATAAACCTCCAAATGATAGAATTATGCCTAAGATTGGACCATGAGCAGAGAATAGAGGAAGGATCTTGATGCAGAGCAGTAGAAATATCCCATAACCTTAGAAATTTACACCACAATCCCGAAGCAACAGAACATGTTAAGAACAGGTGAGCTATAGTTTCATCCTGGGAATTACATAATGGACACAGTACTTCCGTTAGAGGGATCCCTCTTTTCTTTAATTCCACTCTAACTGCTAGTTTTTGATGGCAAATCTGCCTTAAGAAGGTTTGAACTCTAGGCGGAGCCAAACCATCCCAGACCCACTTCTTCCACTCAAAACTCTCTTCAGAACTATCATATAACGACAGTCTACAAGCTTTGACCGAGAACATGCCATCCCCTTTACCCGACCACCCCAGGAAATCATCAACAGAACATGACAGCTTAGTCTTGTCAATCAACAACATTAGATCGATCCACTGGTCCAATTTCCAATCACACAAATTCCTTCTAAGCTGGATGTTCCAAACCCAAACATTATCTACATACCCACCAAACTCAGAGACCTTCCCCCATTTATTTGTAGACAAAGCAAAAATTCTGGGAAATTGATGATTTAAAGGCAGACTAGTGATCCAAACATCAGTCCAGAAAGCAATCGACTGACCATTTCCCACTTGGATCTTTGAATTGTCTCTCAAACAGTCACCGATCTGATCATTCTTCGAAAAGTTACTTAGGATGCCTTTCCAAATCCAAGAATCAAAAGGAGAAGCCGCATCTGAAATAGAAAGGGACATGACATCAACATTGTTTTTGCAGCAGATCAACTCCTTCAACAAGCTTCTTTTTTCATTTGCAAATTTCCAAATCCATTTCCCAAGTAGGACTCTATTTATCACCCTTAAATCAAGGATTCCCAAGCCACCCTCTTCAATAGGTTGACAAACCAACTTCCAACTCACCCAATGAATTCGTTTCTTATCAAGGTCTTCACCCCAAAGGAAGTTAGCCATCAGAGAATTCAACTTCTTAGTCACTTTGAGAGAAATCTTGAAAATAGATAAAAAAAAGATCGGCAAGGATGAAAGCACAGATTTAACTAGAACAAGTCTACCCGCCAACGACAATGATTTTGCTTTCCAACCTGCTAGTCTTTTATTAAAATTCTGAAAAACAGGATCCCACATACTCTCTGAATTCTTCCTAGTGCCAATCGGTAGACCAAGATAAGACATAGGAAAGGACCCCACTCCACAGCTCGCTTTCGTAGCCCATTCTTTAACCAGGTCAACATCCATATTAACTCCAAATAATGAACTCTTAGACAAATTTAAATGTAACCCAGACATGACCCCGATAATCCTCAATACTCTTCTAAAATTTAAAATCTGCATTGAAGAATCTCTGCAGAAAAGGATTAAATCATCTGCGAACTGTAAATGAGTCAAATGAAATGAGTTACCAACCCTACCAATGCTGAACCCTTGAAAAAGACCTAAATCAGCAGCCTTAATCAATATAAGATGTAACATTTCCCCCACTAGATTGAACAGGAGAGGTGAAAGACTGCACCCTTGTCTCAACCCTTTACTAATGTGGAATTCGTCAGTAGGACAGCCATTAACTAACACCGAGATAGAAGCTGAAGAAACACAACGTTTAATCCATGAGATCCATTTTTCCCCAAAACCCATAACCTTCAATATTCTGAATAGGATAGGCCATTCAACCGAATCATATGCCCTACTAAAATCCGCTTTGAAAATAACTCCTTTTCTCCCTAGTTTTCTCCAATAGTCAATGCCTTCATTTGCCAGAAGCGCACAATCAATCAGTTGTCTACCCGGAATAAAAGCGAATTGTGAAGGGCTTACCAAGTTATTAACAACAGATACAAGCCTTTTCGATAGCACCTTAGAAATGATCTTATAAAGGCTGCCAACAAGACTAATAGGCTTGAAATCTTCAATTCCCTCTGGATTCGCTTTCTTAGGGATTAGAGTAATAAAGGAATGATTCACTCCCTTTTCCAATTCCTTACCTCTATGAAAATCTTGGACAAATTGCATAATATGCTCCTTCAAAATGGACCAAATTTTTTTAAAAAAACCATAGAAAACCCATCCGGACTAGGTGCCTTAGCACTATCCGAATAAAAGAAAGCTTCCCACACTTCCTGTTCAGAAAAGTCCACCTCTAACCCAGCCTTTTGTTCCTCTGTCAATTTGTTGAAATTCAGATTACATTCGTCCACTTCCATAGTTGAATTCGAATTGTAGTTGACTTTAAAAAACTCAGAGATAATTGATCTAATCTGATTAGGAGTAATAATATCTTCCCCATCCACTTTCAAAGACGAAATGGCATTCACTCTACTCCTATTAAGAGCACATAAATGATAAAACTTGGTATTTCTATCCCCATCCTTGATCCATTTAAGTCTTGATTTTTGGAACCAGATGCTCTCCTACTTCCTATGCGAACCCCACAATTCATTCCTCCAAGTCAATAATTGGCCCCAATCTTGTGCAGAAATCCTCCCACCCTGACACCTCAATTCCAAATCATTTATCCTATTCTCTAGATCTGAAATCTATTCAGAGAACCCCATATTATTACTGTTAGGCCACTTTGTAATCACTTTCTTAGTTCATTGAAGAATACTCAGCATACCCCTACGAGCATTCTGCATCTTTAAATCATACACAACATTCTTTACCACCCCATCAAACCCATCCTCCTCTAGTAAGTAATTAAAAAACCGGAAAGGTTTAGGACCCCAATTTTTGAAATCATCCTCAAGTACTATAGGGTTATGATCAGATAAAGATTTCAGCAACACTTTCTGAATAACTTTTGGAAATACCTGAAAAAAAGCACCACTTAACAGAAAACGATCTAATCTAATCCACGTGGAAGCTTCTCTATTATTGCACCATGTAAATCTCCCTCCGACTAACGGTAAGTCCATAAGATTTAAATTTAAGATAAAGTTGGAGAATAAGTCCACCGAATGCCAATTTTGAGCCACTCTAATTTTCTCCTCGGGATCTAGATGGGCGTTGAAGTCCCCCTCTAGGCATACAGGCAAATCCTGGTTGTGCATAAAACTCATCAACTCTCCAAAGAACTCCTCTTTATCAGCCTCAACCGATGGACCATACACATTAACAACACATTCAAAGTTAACCAACTTAAACTTTCCTGATAACGCAATGAATCTATTCTGTTTAAATTCCCTACTAACTTCAAACAGATTTTCATCCCACAAGCATATTAACCCCCCTGCCGAACCAGTAGCTGGCTGAAAGCTAATACCTTTCATGCAATTACCCCCCAACTTCCTCAGTAAACCCTTTCGACATTTATTCAATTTAGATTCCTGAATAAAATAATTACCGGTTTGACTTTTGATACTAATCTTGCAACTGCTCTTATTTTTTCTTTTTTTCCAAGCCCCCTAACATTCCATGAAATCAATCTGATTTGTGACATAATTATCAATATCAGCAAAACCTGACCATCCTGAAAACAACAATTCAAGACCTACTAATAGGCCCATTCAGCTCCATCTTCAAGATCTCCTCTTCCAAGACATGATTTCCCCCTTTGAAAGAGATCCCCAACATATCACAGACTTCCCTAGTAGCAGCAGCTTCCAATCTTGCTTCCACAGATTTGTTAGGTGACTCAGAAGTAGCACTATTTTGATCCAAAGGAACCCTGACCAGACCTCCATCTACCCTTTCATAAACTCGGTCATGGAAACTAATGGAAGCTTTTCTTGTGCTTTAGAAAACCTCTTCTTAGACCAAGAGAGAAAGGCTTTTTATTTATTCCCCTCCCCTGATAATCACCCAATAGCACTAGCGTTCCTTCCCTTTCCCTCTCTATCCCATCCACAATACCATCTTCCTTTTCCATGACTACAACTTCCTCTACTAGGTCTTCCTTTGAAAACTGAATCTGTATTCTGTTATTGGACCCACCAACTAAATTTGAATTACAATCAGACGAAGCTCTAACCAAATCTTGCAAATTTGATTCAACCATCACATTATGCTGTAACTCTTCCTATTCCTCCATCCGAGCTTCCTTATGTTTACCATAGCCCACTCTAATTAAATTAACATCTGGCCCAGCTGTGATGGGCTCACTCAAGTCCTCTGATTGGGCTTTATTACTTTCGTTAGAAAAATTACTTATATTCCCCATACCCTGAAAGTTCCCTCTTAAATTCAAACTTCCTTCTGGAATTTCTGACACCTTTACTCCACTAGGTTGACCTTCTTCCTTCCACATTAAAACCTGACCCTCTTTACCGACTGCCACAGCTGTACCAACCTCTCTTACCAACCACCTATCTACATTGTCCCTAGTATTGCCAGTTATTAAATCATGTCTCCCAACCCCATCATAGCACCGACCTTCTTCCTCCTCTGAAAGTTCATCGCCTCTGATCACACCCTTGTCGGCCACCGTTGAATTTCCTACTGAAAAATTTTCCTGCTTTTTATAGACCGACCTCACATTAATTTTGACCTTGAAAGATCTCCCATACGAACCCAACATAACAGAATCCTGAATATCAAAAGGACTGGCCACCCTCAACAGAGCCCTTGCCACCTCCATGTCCTTTTTTCTTGCCGTTGATTCGTGGATACAGACAAGCTTCCCCCACCTTGAAACAAGCTTTTCCAGAAAAGAAACATTCTAACATAATAATGGAATACCAACAAGGTCAACCGAACCAAAGGCCATCGGAATACCTTCATCATTCAAAAGCGGATCAATCCAATCAAACGAAAAGGACAATTTCTCCAATCTGCTCGACCACGCTTCCTTAAATTCTTCCACCGAATCAAAAGTTAGGATACATGAGTTCCATGTATATCCCCATTTAGCACCCTCAACCATAATCCCCTCACTAGCCAGCCCCTTCAGTACTAGTTCCAGATCAAAATGGGATTTAATAATCCCAGTCAATGATCTTTTCACCCAATCCCATTCAGCTGAGGGTAAATGCATCTCCCACAGATTTCTCATTCCTACATCCTTACTAAGATGACCCTCCTTACTATTTTTACTCGCCGGATCTTCCCTTAACCCATCAGACGATACTAATGCTTCCTTATATGATCTTTCATCCCTCATATGATTGAAAGACTCGGATCCAACTCTTCTTTTCCAGTTCGCTCTCTTAAACACCTTATCATCATCTTTTTTGAGATTTCTATTTACAGTTTTCCTATGGCTCTGCCTCCGATATCTAGCTGCACCTACCGAAACTTTCTTCCCATCTATCCAAATACCATTGACATTCGCTATCGCCTTCTTCATTCCTTCCTCCTTCACAAATTGAACGAACGCAAACGTATGATCTCTATAATTTGGCTTGTTAAAATTATTCGGGATGTAAACTCGCGTAACACTACCCTGCTGACGAAAAATATCCTTTAATGTTCTCCAAGTGACTCTCTTACTAAGATTGTCTACAAACACCGTCCAATCCTCACTAGAAGACTGACCACCTAAGACACTCTCTCATCTTTTGATAACAAAACTTAACATGCCTAAATGTGTTAATTTATGCATTGAGCATCTTACATGGGATACAAGTTAAGGCCATGGTTGATTATTGAGTCCCGATTTTTGGATGTATTCTAGTTGACAGTGAGGGACTCTACTAGTTGGTTAGGCGGGGGTCATAGTCAAATTACATAACTTTTTCTGCAGAATAAAGCAATTTTACCCAGAGCCTAACAGGAAATGCTATTTTAAATTTCCAATGATCAATGGCTCTGAATGAACCTTTACCTTAGATGCTTTTTTATGGCTATCGTGGTGGGGAGGGATGGTGTTACACTCTCAAGTTATAGATTGAGTCACTGAATGATGCACCGACAAATCTTCTGTCTTAGCAGGGTTCTTTCCCTTTGTTCTTCCTCTTCCTCATAAATAATATGATGAATAAATAAAACTCGTCGAAGGGAATTCCAGACCTTAGACTTGTTAGATGGAATCTTAAATCTCATAGGATTTTGTTAAAATGTTTGACTTGTTTTATTCAATTCTCAATTAACCTCTTAGGGATCACTTTCAAAGGGGGTAAAAAGATCTTAAAGGAATAAATTATGAATTTATCGAGTTCGGTAGTAATTTCATGATTTTGACTAGCTGGAAAAGTGATGTTCTCCTCATATTGTTTCTAGATGGCCTGAAAATAAGCATATCTTTCCTCCTTCCGCTGATTAAGGAGCTTCTCTACGAGCTCCATTAATTAAGAAGGGGTTTTTTAACGAAGCCTTCAATTCTTATATAAAAAAAAGCATATCTGCATATGGCATGCTTACTTTCTGTTTTATGCCTGCATATTAAATAAATCTATGGTTTCCCTCTTGAATTTTTAGTTAGTTATTATTGGTGATTGAGAGACAAAGTCAAAGTTTAACCATGAGTCCAAATTTTCATTGGATGGCAGGTGTACAAACCTACACTAACTCGATTTGAAAGTGCTGGCGGTCTGATTGGAAGCTCTCCGGCAGATATATCTAAAGGTAATTTAAGGACTCTTTAATGACCTGCTAGGGATAGGTTGACTGTAAGGCTCTATCACTGGATTTTCTGATCCAGCGAGGAGGTCTAGTTGAATGTAGTTGTTAAGTTTTATGTGATGTAATTTGGTGTAGTGTTAAATCTTATGTAAACTTTTATTATCAATAAAATTTTTAAGGCGCTCTTTTCCTCCTTCCGCTGATTAAGGAGCTTACCCCTACTCCTTTAACCAAGAAGGGGGTTTTTAACGAGGCCTTCCATTCCTATAAAAAAAAAAGACCTGCTAGTCCAAGTTAGTTAAGAGATAAAAGCTTATGAAGCAATAATAAGGTTAAAATTTACCCAAATGAAAAGGTTCATAAAATGGAGTAACGATTTAAGCGTAGATAATATATTTTGGTTTTTTGGTATCAAGGATGAAGGGTTCATCAAACTCATGTCCCTTGTCAATAATCTTTTTCGTCAAGAGATCCTGAAAACAGTAAACAGAAAAAATGAGACAACAATTAAGGTCACTCTTAAGTTTGCTGATAATAATTAGATTAAAAGTTGGGTTTTGTTTAGAGAGATATGAGCGTGTTAGGTAGAGAGAGAGTGAGAGAAAAGTCAAAAATTTCCATTGATGCTGATGAGGAATGGACAGTGTTCATTGATAATCTTAACAAAAGTGTTTCCAGAGGGGTGTTAAGGAATTATTTTAGTCCTTATGGTCAGATCTTGAGGATTTTCATCCCTCATTTTTTAGAAAAACCAAATTATAAATCTTCTACTTTTGCTTTCGTCCAATATGCTCGCGAGGAAAGTAGAAACAAGGCAATCCGGTCCGTGAATGGGAAGTGGCTTGATGGAAGAAGACTCTCAGTAGGGATCGCTATGTATCAAAAGGTTAAGAGAAGGGAAGCTGTGGACGGGAAGAGAATGTTGGAGATCAGGTCTGAGATTAAAGATGCACCAGGATTGGGGAGGAGAGCTGTGTCGTTGAGAAGCTTGAGAGATAACAGATCGTATAAGGATGTGGTGAACTCTGATTATGATTTGAGAAGGAAAACAATATCAGGGGCAAACTTGCCGGGTAACAATCAGAGTGTTCCAACTGTGAGAAACGTTTGGGACATGCATATTCCATCAGATAATTCGGAATGGGTTAAACGTTCACTATCAGGGATAATGAAGTCTTCTTTTGAACATAACTCGGTGAAGGACGCTCTAGAGTTAGAAGGCATGGAAGTTCAAGTTGTTAGATGGGGTTATGCATGGAATGCATGCATAATTACTTTCAACTCGGTGGAGGAGGCCTCACAGGTATGGATGAATAAAAAGGAAAAGCCGTTCTTATGCTTTGATTGGTTAGCCCCAGTTTTGAACGAGGATGGAGTTCCGTCGGCACTTTGCCAGATTGAGTTATTTGGATTGCCTTTACTGTGTTGTAATGAGGCATTCTTAAGAAAGCTTACAAGGAAGTGGGGTCAGTTTCTATGTTTTAACAAAGATTCAGAGAGCAGATAGGACCTCTCGACGACAAAAGTTCTGCTCAGGGTGGAAAGTCCTTATGATATTCCTGATAAAGTGACGATTGGTTCGTATGGTAGATCGTTCAAAGTTACGATCACTCTGGGATCTGTTTTGATTAAACCAGAGGAAGAAGCGGGAAGGAAGAAGATGGAGAAATTTTCAAAAAAGAGGAACAGTGGTTATGTCGTGTCAGAGGTGGGATCTGGCAGACATCCTACTCTGGCTGAAGACAGGGATGAGTCTGCAGAGGATGCTAGGCTTAAAGTCATTTCTTGGCTAAATTGTGGGCAGAACAGTGGAGTGAATGGAGTCAGTGGGGGACATGTCCAATCGAGTAAGTCAACCGCAGATAATTCTGATTGTGGGCTGTCAGGTTTCTTGGGAATTAAGACAAGTCAGAATGACAATCACTTGGGCTTGGGATTGAGAGATACAATTGATCCGGTAGACTCAGTGCAATCTGAGGAAAATGAGGCTGCATTATTTCGAAATAAAAAATGGGTTCCCAGTGGGCCAGCATTTAATCTTAAATGGGTTGGGGACAAGTTTGTCTTACAGCCCAATGCCAGTCCTGCAATTCACTTGAGTGCTGCTGATGAGGGGGAGGATAGGGGGGCGAAAGTCAATTTTCAGGGGGAAAGGAAGTGAATCCAAGTGAACAGGGATGTTATAAGAAAGCATAACTACATTGGTTCAAAAAGCCTGGGGGGGACCACATTATTAGTTTGCAGATTGATAATGATGTAGAGGGGTTTAAATGTACAGTTGATAAATCGGAAGGTGGTAAGCAGATGGAGAAGGTTATGAATGATAATTTATGTAACTCTAATGAGGAAATCTTCTCAAGTTCAAGTACAAAGAATAGAAATAATGAGATTCAAGAGGGAAGTACTCCATGCCACAAGAAAGATGACCAGTTTAAAGCAAAGGAAAGTCATCTAGTTCCTATTAATCAGCAGGATCAGTGTATTCCTCGGTCTAAAAGCCTCACTAATAAGCGAAAGTTGAGAATAGCCCCTCGCCGATCAGGAAGTGTTTGCTCGGATACTGAAGTGTCTATCAGCTTCTATGATAGAGTTTATAGAAAGGTTCTTAGAAGTAAGGTCAGGGAGTCAGTGGAGCAAGTCAGGGAGGTATCTCAGTCTTCCCAATCTTCTGTTAAAGCTAGGATTGAAGCTGCTGTTACTAGGGAGGTCTGTGAAATGTTGGGGATCACCTTTAAAGGGGGGCAGCATTTACTAGAGGAGGAGATTTTTAGGATGGAATTGAAGGGGTCTTCTCAATGACCCTGATGGTTTCTTTGGTTTGATATGGAGTTTATGATTGTCAATTTTATGTCTAAGTTAAAATTAATCACATGGAATATTAAAGGTCTTGGGAGAAGAGAAAAAATAAGAGCAGTGGCCAGACTCGTTACTAGAGAGAAGCCGTCTATCCTATTCTTACAGGAGTCAAAACTGAATGTTTGTAAAAGCAATTTATGGAGGAGGTTAGGAGGTAATCTATTGAAAGGTCATGTCTTCCTTCCAGCTGAGGGTTCTGCAGGAGGTCTGATAAGTTTGTGGAATGAGAGTGTTTTTGTGGTCAATGCCGAACATAAACATAGCAGATTTATAGCATTATCAGGAAAGTTCAAGCTGTATAATTTTGATTGTGTTTTAATAAATGTATATGGTCCAGCAGTAGAAGCGGATAAAGAGGAATTCTTTAGGGAGCTGATGTGTTCTGTGCAGTGTTTAAACTTGCCAGTCTGCATAGGAGGGGATTTTAATGCTTATTTGGATACAAGGGAGAAATGCGGTGTAGCTCAAAACTGGCATTCCATGGATTTGTTTAGACTCTTTGTTCAACATTTTAATCTTATGGATTTACCATTAGTAGGAGGAAGATATACTTGGTGCAACAACAGAGAGTCTCCTACTTGGGTAAGGCTTGATTGGTTTATTATCAGTGGTTCTTTCCTAAATCAATTTCCTAATATGATCCAAAAAATGTTCCCAAAATCCCTTTCGGATCATAATCCTGTGGTGTTAGTAGAAGAATGCAACAATTGGGGACCAAAACCTTTTCGATTATACAACTATTTGTTAGAGGAAGACGGGTTTGTTGAGTTGATTGAAAATTCATTGTCTACGGTGAAGGCGAATGGTCGAAGGGGTCTATTTTCTCTACTTCGAGGAACAAAGCAGAAGATCAGGGATAGGCCTTTTTCGACTCAAAAGGGGATTTCTAGAAAAATTTCTCAACTAGAAAACTTGATTAATGATCTGGAATTCAAATTGCAAGAAGGAGGAATTTCCATTCAAGAAAGGGATTTGTTGATTCTGTCCAGGAATGAATTATGGAAGCTGCATAGGATGGAAGAGAGTATTTGGTTACAAAGATCAAGATTGAAGTGGATCAAGGATGGGGATAGGAATACAAAGTTTTTCCATTTAACAGCTTTAAATAGAAATAGAATGAATTCAATTTTGGCCCTGAGAGTGGCTGATGAAGAAATTTCTGATCCGGAGAAGCTGAAAAAATTTGCCTTTGAGTATTTTAAGGAGAACTACAGCTCTAAAAATATGCTGGAGGTAGAGGACATTAATCTCAATTTTATGACATTATCAGAGGAGCAGAAAAATGGACTTGAGGTACGGTTTTCAAAACATGAAGTTAGGGAAGCAGTGTTTCACTCGGACAGCTCCAAAGCCCCGGGTCCAGACGGCTTCACGATGGGTTTCTTTAAAAAATTCTGGCATGTTTTGAAGGATCATTTAATGAAGTTTGTGGATGACTTTCACAGAGGAATGAGTTGGGAGCATGGGGTCAACCATGCTTTCATTACTTTGATTCCTAAAAAACTCAACCCTGAAGTTATTGAAGATTACAGACCAATTAGTCTTGTTGGAAGTTTGTACAAAATTATCTCTAGAATCTTATCGAGGAGATTGGTTTCTGTTATTAAAGTTTTGATCAGCCCATTACAGTTCGCCTTTATTCCGGGTAGGCAGCTCATTGATTGCGCTTTTATGGCAAATGAATCTATAGATTACTGGAGGAAAAAAGGTAGGAAAGGAGTTGTTTTTAAAGTAGATTTTCGCAGAGCCTTTGACTCAGTGGAATGGCCAATTATTTTGAGGTTATTGAAGATAATAGGTTTTGGAGACAAATGGATTTCTTGGATGGATTATTGTATTTCTTCTGCTTCAATTTCAGTCCTAATTAATGGTTCCCCTACTCAAGAATTTCAGATGGGCAAAGGGCTGAGACAAGGTTGTTGTCTATCTCCTCTTCTGTTTAATATTGTTGGTGAGCTATTGAACTTAATGTTGAGTAAGGCTGCTACCCTTGGTCTTTTTGAAGGATTCAATATTGGTATTGAAGAGAATCTTTTTAAGTTGACTCATCTGCAGTTTGCAGACGACCTAATCTTATTTTGCAGAGATTCTTCAACTCAAATTCTGAATTTAAAGAGAATATTGAGGGTATTCAGTTTAATTTCAGGGCTTCATTTTAATTTATCCAAGAGTAAATTGTTTGGTGTTAATGTGGCAGAGGACAGATTAAAATACTTAGCACTGGAAGCAGGTTGTGGAGTGGGATCTTTTCCTATGACTTATCTAGGTCTTCCGATAGGAACAAAGAAAAATTCAGAGTTATTGTGGGAACCAGTTTTACATAAAGTTTTCACCAGATTAGCAGGGTGGAAAGCTGCTTCTTTATCGTTGGCTGGAAGATTGGTGTTGATAAAATCGGTATTGTCCTCCTTACCTATTTTTTACCTTTCCATTTTCAAAATTCCGTTTAAGGTCAATCAGAAAATTAACTCAGTAATGGCAAGATTTCTTTGGGGTGAAGAATCAGACAAGAAGAGGGTTCATTGGGTGAATTGGAGTACGGTTTGTCAACCATTGGAAGAAGGAGGCTTAGGAGTATTGGACTTAAGTATGATTAATAGAGTTTTGCTAGGGAAATGGGTTTGGAAGTATGCAAATGACAAAGATTCTCAATGGAAAAAACTGATTTGTTGTATTCATAATGTCAGTATGGACTCTCTGTCTATAGGCAAGGTTGTTTCTCTTCAAGATTCATGGGTGTGGAGAGGAATTCGGAGTAACTATGAGAAAAAGGACGAGATTGGGGATTGTTTGAGATCCAATTCGAAGATCCAAGTGGGGAATGGTAGGTCAATTGATTTTTGGAATGATATTTGGGTTAATGGATCGACTCTTAAGATTCAATTTCCTAGAATCTATGCTCTGTCGACTAACAAAAGGGGAAAATTGGTTGAATTTGGTGGATTTGTAGCTAATGGTTGGGTTTGGAACATTCAGCTAAGGAGAAATCTTTGTGACTGAGAATTGGATCAGTGGTTTTCCTTAATGCTTTTGATTGACAACATAGCACCGAATGAATCAGTGGATGATTTTCTGGGGTGGTCGGGGAAAGGGGATGGTTTGTTCTCGGTAAAATCCTGTAGAATGACTATCTCAAGCAGAACTGGAGGTCATTTTCAATGGAAGAAATGGGTGTGGTCCGGATTAACTCCTCCTCGAGTGGAAACATTTCTATGGCAGTTTACTCATCAGAAATTGGCGGTAAAAGTGGAATTGAAGAAAAGAGGGGTCAATCTAGAAGATGTTTTATGCCCTTTTTGCCACAAATATGAGGAATCAATTCGTCATCTGTTTTTTTCATACTCGGTTGCAGAGTTGTAGTATAGATTTTTAAGGTTTTGGGACATCTCTTCGGTCATGCCCCAAGATCCTCCTTCCTTTCTTTGCTCTTGGTCTTATCTAAGGGAGTGTTCTAATATTTGGAAGTTCATTCCAGGTGTTGTTCTATGGTCTATCTGGAAAGCTAGGAATGCAGTGGTTTTTGAAAACTGGACATTAGATAATTCATCCCTATTCTTCATTTCCAGGTTTAGGTTGGCTAAATGGTTTTTAGCGAAATTTCCTCATGCTAATATTCAAGTTGGCCTACTAGTAGGGGATCCATCGCTTGCAGACAATTTGCCTATAAAATCCTACAATAAGGAGAAGGTTCTTAACTGGTCTCCGCCTCCTCCGAATTTCTTTAAATTCAATGTTGATGGTGCGGTAAGAGGTGATGGGCTGCAGGGAGGTATTGGAGGAGTCTTGAAAGATTCGGATTGTTTTACTTTATATACCTTTTCTTTTGCGGTGGGACCTGGTCCTCCTATGTTAGCTGAGCTAAAAGCTATTAAACAAGGGATTGATCTATTCATTTCTTCCGAATGGGCTCTGAAGGGAAGACTAATCCTTGAGACAGATTGTAAAACAGCAGTTGACTGGATTTTGATGCCATTTTCTGCCCCTACTTTTTTTCAATACTTTAGTTGGGGAAATTGAGGCCTTAGTTTCTGCTAGGGGTATTATTGTTAGATGGATTCCTAGGACATGCAATTGGGAGGCTGATAAGCTAGCTAAAGAGGGTATTGGTTGATGTTTGAGCTTTATGGTTGTTTTGGTTTGTATTTTTTTCGGACATTTTATTTAGTAAGCTGTAATCTTATGTAAACATGGTTTTAATATAATGAGGTACTCTTTTCCTCCTTCCGCTAGTTGCCTCTTTCACAAGAGCCAACTATGAGGGAGGTTTTTAATGAGACCTCCTATTCCTATAAAAAAAAATTAGATTAAAAGTTGCACAAGACTCAGAATAGATGATAAATGAATGGATGAAGTAAGATTTATGGTTTCAGACCGAATAACATTGCGGGTTGATCCATCAGCTAAAGTAATAGGAGTAATAGATTTATGTGGCTGAAAGTCAGAAAGTAAACTCGAATTACTTGTCATGTAATCTGTAGCACCAGAATCAATGACCCATTTTGAAGAAGCAAAAACAAGACATGTATTGGGTTAACCTGACTCAACAAGAACAAAAATAGGACCGAATAACTGTTTCACTATTTCTTAAAGTTGAATAAATTGGACAATACTCATTCGCAGATATTGTTACAAACTCCTCCTTACATTTTTCTGGATGTGCGGATTTCAATAATCAGTTGTGAGTCTGTCTTTACAATGATGTACTTGCATTGTTTTAGTCTAGCACAGGGTGTAGATATTTGATCAAGCAATAGAAATTTGTTTAAGTCTATTGTGCTTCCAGACTTCAGTTATCTTATGTAAACAGTGAACTTTAAATCTGTAATGAAACAAAAATGTTCCAAAATTGGAGACCATCGAATGTTATTTTAAAATTTTCATGATTCATTCACAAGTAAGAATATGTATGTTCTGACATGTTTTCTTCTGCAGATGTTGATGTGCTTGTAGTCATGGTCACCAATGAAGCTCAAGCAGATAGTGTTTTATTTGGGGACTTGGGTGCAGTTTCAGGTATGTTTCTACTTTGTATTTTGTAGCCCTCAGCAATTTATGAGCCACGGCTGATTTCACTTTGTATTTTGTAGCCCTTCCATCTGGAGCATCTATAATTCTTTCTTCCACGGTATCTCCTGCATTTTTGAACCAACTAGAACGACGTTTACAGAGTATGTGTTTATTTTGTTCAGTTATCTATTTGCAGTAACAAAAAGCAAAATTTATCGTTTGAACTAAAACATTCCATTGTTTTATTATTCAAATTCCAGCTTTCCTCCCAATGTTTCTTTTCCTCCATCTCCCCTCACAAGAATCCCTTCTTGCTTTTATTTTGTCCTGCTTGAGTACACTGCATGGCTAGGTACAGAGCTGAGCTGAGCTAAGTGTCTCTGTGTTTAGCCTCAGCTCTTCGATCCTGAGCACAAGCTGAGCTTACATAAGTAAAAACTTTGTTCGAACGTTGGTCATTTAGTTCAGCAGAGTATCAAGTTGAGCTCTAGCTCTTAATGAGCTTGCAACTTAAGCTAAACAAGCCCACAAAAAGGCAATTTTTGGCTCACTTTATGTTGGTCCAGTAGACGAGGACTGTTTATTTACAATTGACTCGTGAGAGAAAGATGTAGTGTGTTGGGGGGGGGGGACCTTTATTCTCACTTGTTCTTTTGATGTGCGATGTTAGGACCTTTTTTGGCTTGTGATTAATTCTGCTTGTCGAGAGAAAGAGGGAGAGAGATAGAGAGCACTAAAATTGGCCATCTTGTCCGCGTTACCGTATTTGCTTGCTTGGAAGTCTAATAATGGATTGCTTTAATTTGAGTTATTTACTATTTGAGAAGTAGTAGTTGTCAGTGGAGGAGAATGCGAAAGGGAAAATTAGACAGCAACCCCATGGTTGAGAGTTTTAGTTACCTAAAAAATTATCACGATGCAAAGAAAACTTCTTTTTATCTGCAAAGCAAAGAAAACATAATGACATCATTATGCTTTTTCATCTATACTTTATAGTAGCTGAACAATATAAGCAGTATTTCCAAACCCTTAATAGGAGATATATACCGGATTATAAAATTGAAACAGCACATAGTATGTTTGCCAACCCTACTAATTCTCAGTTCCCTTCAACTACTCTGACTAGCTAAACAAACCCACAACCGAGGTAAAATTATAATGGTTTTCTTTTGTTCAAAATGTTAAAAGTGCGCTGCTTTTTCCATTATACTTGATGTCATCGTTATTCACTTGGTAATTTATCTGTGCCTCTGCAGATGAAGGAAAAGATTTAAAATTGGTTGATGCACCTGTTTCTGGGGGTGTTAAAAGAGCCTCTATGGGTGAACTTACAGTACGCAAATGAGATTTTAATACAAAATTTTAATTGAAAGCTCTTGATTTGTTCTTCTGAAGTTTGTTACTTTTCTTTTTCTGTTTCTATTTCTAGATAATGGCCGCAGGTTCAGATGATGCTCTTAAAAGTGCAGGTCTTGTCCTCTCAGGTAATTTGCATGCAGTAAACTTTCAGTTGTCAGGTGAAGGAATACCTGATATATGTTTTGATTGGTCTTGGTTGTTGATATTGAACAGCATTAAGTGAGAAGCTCTATGTTATCAAAGGGGGTTGTGGGGCAGGAAGGTACTTCTGAGCAATTATTGGTCATAGCATAAAGCATCAATTGCCTATTTATTTGTCAAGGAATCAGCTTTTTTTTTTCCTTTCTCAATCTTTAGTGGAGTAAAGATGGTTAATCAATTGCTTGCCGGAGTTCATATAGCAGCATCAGCTGAGGCAATGGCTTTTGGGGCCCGATTACGTCTTAACTCAAGAATATTGTTTGATATCATCAGCAATAGTGGGGCAACATCCTGGTAGGTTCTTATACACTGAACTGGAAGTATTGTGTTTTCTTTATTGTTTTCTTTTTTACTTTTGTTTTGTTGCTTGAAACCTGACTACTAACTACATAGACCCTGAGAATGGTCTTCTTTTGTAGAAGTCTGTAGTCCCCTAAAGGAATCGGAACGTCTAACTATTAGAAACTCATAGCTGTTATAGAAGCATTATCATATCAAGGTTATTTTTATGCTTTTATCCTACCCTGAGCTTCATAACAAGGTCACAATTCTAAATTGAAATGCTATGGCTACAAAACTATTTTATCATGAGCACTAAACTAATTTCCGTTTTCTACTTCTACTAAAACTGCAACAGTAGACAAATCTCTTTCTTGTCTTTGGGTCAGCTACATGAGTCAGATTTCATCCTCATGCTCTTATTAGGACCATTTCTTGAGAAAGGCCATCAAGAGAAAGGTCTTTTAGAGTTTGTTCCAGTGTTTTCTTTTCTCTACCCCTGCTCACTTTTGACGTGCATTTCCGGTTGAAATATATCTACAAACAGTAGCATTGGGAGCTGTTCTCCTCACATCTCCATATTGCCTTGCACTTCCCTTATTTTCTCCTTATCTGGCATGATGACTGCCACTTGTAGTTGAATGTAGAGCTTGGGGCTGAAAATAACCTATAGCAATAGTAATAGGTTTTTGGTAATAATCCCTTAAAGTGTTGCTCTTTATGGCAAATTTTCTTTGAAAGTTGATTGTTGAATTGATGATCCTAACAAACATTGTTTTGGGAGGTATCCTTGAATTTCCATGCTATTCTTTTGCTGTAATCAAGTTTTGCTCATGCGTCTTGCTTTGTTTTCAGAAGTTTTGAATGTGCAATAGTTCTTTTCATAAGATATATTTGATTCTACACATGAATAGCAATTGCCACTCACTTGAGGACTGAAAAAAGCGCATTTTCCTTTCTCTGTCTCTCTTAGTCTTTTGTTCAGCCGTAATAGAATATGAACTTTTTTTATTTTTCAATCTGGAAGTGTGGGTGCAGGCGCTCATCTATTCTTGTCAAGTTTCTCACTTCCCATTATCACAACTGTTTAGTATGTCTTTAGTTCTTTTACAATGAAAAAACATCAATTCTTATTTGATAAATATTTAGTATAGTATACGAAAAGCTCATGACCCTTGTGTCTTGTGTCCAGATAATTCAAGTGACAAAATTTATGCCATGGTCATGTTCAAACAAACTGATCCCAGTTCCACATGTTACATGTTTTAATCTAATATCATCTATGGAAACTTGAAACCTTATTTCTAGAATTGTAAAATTCATCACTATGAGAGTCCTTGTCTTTAGAGAAACCTCTGCATTTCCTTTTTCTTAAAATAACTGGTCCTAGGCATTAGGATATTTTTCATTTCTGATGAGTTCTGATTGGATAATGACTAAATTGCAGGATGTTTGAAAATCGTGTTCCGCATATGTTAGACGATGACTATACCCCTTACTCTGCTCTTGATATCTTTGTGAAGGATCTGGTCAGATAATTGGTTGCTTGTTTATCTTTTCCAATTGAAACAAATATGTCCGTAGTTTACTTAGCTGTAAGACAAAGTTTAATATCCTACAGGGTATTGTTGCTCGCGAATGCTCAGCTCATAAAGTTCCACTCCATATTTCAACCATTGCACACCAACTCTTTATTGCAGGTAAATCATAACCTCTCTAATTCTGTCTAGAAATTGTGGCTGCCTTTTTTTCCCTTCCTTTTTTTACATTTTCTACCTGAGGTGACTTGGTGCATAAATTGTACTGATTTTATGATTTTCTGTCTTTAGACGCAGAAAAAGAGAGAATAATACTCGTGTTTTTAATTCATCAATGTATGGGTATATATACAAATATAAAGCTACTATAATAGGTAACATAGTATCCTACATTAATTACAATATATTAATCCTTAGATTTAGCCTACAAATATGTAACACTCCCCCTCAAGTTATGAGCATAGATATTATTCATGCCTAGCTTGTTACATAGATTATCAATTTGGACCCCATTAAGAGCCTTTGTGAAAATATCTCCTATTTGTGCTCTGGTTTTCACATAGCTGATAGTAATCAAGACATGTTGGGTCTTCTTGCGAATAAAATGACAATCAATCTCAATGTGTTTCGTTTATTGATGAAAGACTGGATTAGAAGCAATGTGAATTGCATTTTGATTATTAAGAACATACTTCCTTTGAGATAGGAAGATTCCTTTCTTACTCCTGTTTTTTTTATAAAAATATTGGAGGCCTCATTAAAAACCCCCTTCATAACCTTCAAATTGCATCTGTAGCTTGACGGACATTGGAAGGAGGAAAAGAATGCCTCAAAATTTTATTAATGAAAAACAATAACAAAACCAGTACAATACAAACAATACCCACTAAAATACATAACCCGACCAAAAACATAAAAAACACACTACAACAACCTCCATAAAACCTAGAACTAAACATAAATACCCCGACCTGCAACACAATTTCACCCTATTCCAGCCTTAGCTAACCCATCTGCCTCCCAATTGGCAGATCTCAAAATATGCCTAACCATAACTTCCTGTTCAACTACTAAAGTGGCAATGTCTTTCACCAATGACTCGAACAGCGGAATGCAACGACCTGGATTTTTAATCCACTCCAAAGCAGTAGAACAATCCGATTCAAGAATAAGCCTCCCCCTTAAATCATAACCGGACTCCACAAATAATAACAAACCCCTTTTAATTTCCAATAATTCAACTAGGATAGGAGGCTCGGAACCAACACTCTCTGAGAATGAACCAAACATCACACCATCACTATCCCTTAGCAAGCCACCAATACCTCTTAACCACCCCTTTACCATATCACCATCCACATTTAGTTTGAAGAATCCCAAAGGAGGAGGAACCCAAAGCTCCAAGAAGAACTACCCTTCTTAGTACTCATGGCACAATCTGCTACTTTTGGATCGCCCACAAGAGAATCAAAAGGAATAACCATATCCGAAAATCTAGCTATAAACCAGGCTGCAATCTTATTCCTTACCAGAAAAAACAGCAAAGTTAAGTCCAACTTGCCTTTTTAAAAAATAATCTCATTCCTACACTTCCAATCCGACCACATTACCGCCCTAGGAATGAAAGTCCAAATAGTGGATCGCGGAACTAAATCTGCTCAACCAGAGATCATAATAGTCTGACTCTCCGGAACAACAAAGGAAACGTTCCAAAGATGCAGGAATCTAGACCATAAGCCCCAAACCACCTCACAATGCACAAATAAGTGAGGAACGGACACCAAGAACTTGCAACACAAAGGACAAAGTGTATCCTCAATCCCTGCGACTCCACGCTTTAGCAATTCCTCTTTCACTGTCAATCTTTGATGAACAACCTGTCAGACGAACGTTTTTACTCGGGGTGGGGCTATCCCTAACCACACGTGTCTGTCCCAAATAACATTAGTACCCGAAATCTCCAAAAATTTCCTAATACATGACTTTGCTGAAAATCATCCCTCCCCATTCCCTTTCCAAACCCAGTAGTCTTCCGACGAAGCCGACAATAAGGAGTTATTCAACATAGAATTAAGTAAAAGCTATTGATCAAACTCCTAATCAGCAAGGTTCCTTCTCATTTTAAATCCCACACCCATCCTGTCGAAGTATTAACCCTGAATTCAACAACTTTGCCTCCTTTATTAATCAAGAGAGTGAATAATCTCGAAAACCTATCTTTTAATGGAATCGAATCCTGTAACCCCCACAGACCGATAAGGGTAACAAGATCCGATCCGGGGTGTCATATTTGGGCCACCAGAGCGACCCACTGTAAAAATAGCGGAAAATTTAAAACTTTTTAAATTACATGTAAACTAATAAAATCAGTTGTCACTATTTAAAAATAAAACAGATTTCCAGACTCGTATATAAATCAAAATACAATTACATACCCCCTAATCACATGTACCATACTCTGCAACAACGCCGGAAGAACTCCCTTATTGAAGTCGATAGATGCATATCTTTTCTTTTAAAACAGTGGCAATTCAAAACATATTTTTATTCAAAAACCATATGAATCCATCCAACCAAACACACCATAATGTGTAGGTTCCCTAGAACCATACACCACCAACACACCAAGTAAGGCCCTGAGCACAAAGCAGAGGAGCCTGCAGTAGCAGTAACGGTAACGATAACTTCCTCCAACAACACCCTCCCATAAAACATTTATCAAAAACCATAGTAATCCCTCCAACCGAACACGCCATAATGTGTAGGTTTCCCAGAACCATACACCCACCAACACACCATAATGTGTAGGTTCCCCAGAACCATACACCCACCAACACACAAAGTAAGGCCCCGAGCATAAAGCCGAGGAACCTGCATATATTGTAACCTCCAACAATACCCCCAAATAAAACATGTTCCGTCCGTAAACAGATATATCAAAAATCAAAACATAATTTAATGTCAAGTATCATAACAAAATCCAGGTCAAGTATCAGATCAGAATCCAAGTCAAGTATCAGATCAAAATCCATGTCAGATATCAGATCAGAATCCATGTCAAGTATCAGATCAGAATTCAAATCGAAAATTAGATAAAATATTCATGTGGGTAGGGAACACACCAGAGTTTACAGATATTATTCATAAGTACATAATAATCTTATCAGGCAGAGAAACACAGATCTTCAATATACCGATAGAATGTTAGGATTTATAATCACTATTGGAAGAGTTCAATAACTGATGGAATCATAAGTTATTCAGATTGAGACTTATCGAGATCATATCTTATTCATACATTTTTTTTGAAAGCACTACATAATCAAAAGGGTATTCAGAATCCTTTACATCTGAGCTACTTATATTTTCAGATATAACCTAACTAATTTGAGCTGATAAGGGAGAAAAACGATTCAGAAATTTTACAATCTTTGTCGATTGATCAGATTAACGAGTTACTCGATGTGAATAATTCCCATAACTAATGCCCATCGACTGGTCAATTCTTTGTCCTTCCAGGGTATTTATTTATTTTATACCTAACATTCTTATCCATAGATATTCCAATGCTCTTTATTTCATTTTCACGCTTCCACAGTATCATGAAATGCTAACGTGCTTGATTTATAGTTCATGACCCATAAAAAACATTTCATTATGTATGTTCGTTAACGTTTCCAGACTCATCCAAATCACTTATTTAATCATCGGTCATTGAGGTTACTTATTTCATTTAACAGTCAAGTCTATCCCGGTTACTTAAGAGTTTTCCAGAGTAAATCAGACATTTTCTGAATTTCGGATATATATTGTACTTTCGTTCAGTTCAGAATTCGTGGTTGATTTGTCGAACAAATATCCAATTCTTGGTACTGAATATGATCTAGAGTTGAGTTGAGCTGAATACTTCCAAATTTATTATCGAGCCAAACTTGAAAAGACGAACATGCATTCCAGTAATATCTATGTCGTTCAGGTATTGACATAGCTTTAGGGTTGATCTACTCACTTAAGTTTTGTTCCATAACTTTTAAAGGTAGTCCAACACCTATGTTTATTTGGATTTCTTCATTATTCCAAGATATTTACTTAATATAGGCCATAAGGGTATTTTGGTAATTTTGGTGTTCAGTTTTATTCCATTCATTTCAGAGCTCGAGGATATCCAATCATTCTTGAGCTTGGTGGTATTCTTGGGTCATTTCTATTACAGGGGTATTTTGGTCATTGTACAGATTCAGTGTACTTTAATCATTTCCTTCCGTCTGATCTTACTATTAAATTCAATCTTATCATTTATTTCAGTCCTTTCGAACAATTTTGACAACAGAACAACCCCGACAAATTGTTCTTCAGGTATTTACTCATAACTCAGATATTTCTGGGTCAGGTGCCTTCTCAGATTTTACAAACGGAATATCAGGAATTTTCCTGCACTAAGTCAGGATCTTAACAATTAAATCCGTACTTAATCGAGTTAAATACGAATCCCCCAAGTATTTTCTCATTCAGAGTCAACTCAGTCTATTCTACCTCTTAAAGGCATTTCTGTAATTTCTTAACCAGATAATTTCGATATTAGCTCTTAACGAAAATAATATAATTTAGAGATCCTATGATTAATTGCTTTCTTGAACACTCTCTGATCTTGAAACGGTTCTCTTAACAAACTTCTAGTATCCTTCACAAACTCTCATAGGATTAAAACCGGTTATCCATAATTTCCAAATAAAACTAACATTTCTTATGCACATCAATATTTTTATCAGATCAATATGTCTGTAAAATCCTCTTATCTAACTTCCATATTCAAATCTTGTCTTTTTATAACATAAGGGTATTTTCGTAATTTTACCCTACCGGAATATTCTCATAATTTCTCATCCAAGTACCTTAACCTTTGATGAAATAAATTATAAGTTGCAGATACAAGGCTGATTTCTTTATCACTAATCACAAACTTGTAATTTAATCTAACAATTCCTCAATCTCTTATATTAGTCATTCGATCCGTAATTAGTTACAGAATTTCTATCACATCATATCGAATGTATAAATTATTCAACTCCACTAAAGTGACCAACATTATCTTGTCCATGCATTTATCAATATAAACATGTTCCATAAAGCATAAAGAGGTAGTAAAGTATTACTTTGATTTCCGTGCAATACTGATCGACCATAAAAATTCCATTCGAACGCCTTTGATCTTCAATTCAACTTCCAATAATTCCTCAGATGCATATTAACATAAATTATATCAGAAACAAAGCTTAATTGCAATAAACGGATCGAATTGGGTGATAAATCAGTGAAAAACAGCTTACCGGGTTTGAATTTGGCGAAACAGACTTCGGATTTGGATTCAGGACGTCGAAAGTATAAAATATGACTTTTCAGAAATTTGGAATTTTCGGTCAAAATCAAAGTCAACGGGTTTGACCGGCAATTTCGAGGCTTTCGGGTCCGAATTCCGAAAAACGGATTGAGGAATCGGATTTGGAACGTCGAAAAATGTCAGGATAGGTATACTCGGTCAAAAACAAAGGTCGTTTAATGCCCGGTCAAAGACCGTCAAAGGTTTGGTCAACAGTGGTCTACGGTCAACGGGGTCAACAGTCAACAAGTTGGGTCAACGGGTCGGGTCGGGTCGGGTTATGACCGGTCAAACCTGTCAACTATGCACCAAAACCGGTCACTTTTGTCTTCCCCACGCGAAGTGACGGCGCGTGGGGGCGTGTGAACAGTGCCCTGATATCGGAAAATTCCTAAAAATTATTTTAAGCGATTTCGATAAACTTACAAAGCTCGGTTCAAATTTTTGAACGGCGGAGAGCTTGATTTCAACGAATCGGAAACTTTGACCGCTTCACTTCCTCACGCGCCGCCATCGACGAAGACCAAGGATGACACCGGCGGACTCGGAACGATGCAACGAACACGATGGTGCGGGAGGTGTCGTAAACGGATGACCCGATCGTCGTGAATCGATGAAAAACCAACTAAAATCGAGTTATTACCGACGATACTTCCGACTAAAATTAACGACGAACGACGATGATTCACGACGAAAGGTTTGAGGGGCTTTGTTTCTCGCTCGACAACGAACACGATGGTGGTTTCGGCTCGTCGATCGGAGGTCGGACGGCGAGTAGATCGGAGTTGAAAGAGGGGTTGATGAAGAGGAAAATCTGGAAAAATTTCCAGAAAACATACGGGGGAGAGATTTATAATTCTCTCCAAACAAAAAATGGCTAAATCATGGGTTTAGCCACTGAACTTCCTACACTTCTTGAAACGGTCTGCCAACTTTGAAATCTTATAATTTAATCCCCGATTTCTTCCAAAAATACCAATTAAATTCACCAATTTATATTTCCTTAAATTTAACCCCTAAATTGGGGTGTTACAAATCCAACCAAATGTCATGCCAAAACACCACAGACTCGCCATTACCGACTCTTAAACTCATATTCTTTCTAAGGCATTCTTCAAAATCATCGCTTGAGTAAAAAAATTTCACCACCCATTTCCAAATCCACGAAGCACTAGCAGAAATCGAGTTGTTTGCCCTGGTTGCATTCAGATCCAGACTATAGACACATCATACAACCCTTTTCCACTATGATTTTTTCTTACAAGCAAACTTCTACATCCATTTCCCCAAAAGAGCCCTATTCAGTAAATCCAGGTTAGGAATACCCAAACCCCCCAAATTCTTTGGCCTACACACCGAAGCCCAATTTACCCGATATTCCTCTTATTTGTCGAACCCCTCCCCCCAAAGAAAAACTGCCATTATGGAGTTTAACTTTTTCAAAACACATGCTGATAATCGAAAGATAGAAAGGAAGTAGATTGGAAGAGCACACAACACTGATTTCACCAATACCACCCTTCTTGCTAAGGATAAAGATGAAGCCTTCCAACCAACTAGCTTTTTATGAAATCTTTGAACAATCGGCTCCCACATAGTCACCGAATTCCTCTTAGTCCGAAGAGGTAAACCTAGATACTCTGTCGGAAATGACCCCATCGAACAACCAATAGCCTTAACCCAGTCCTTTATCAATTCTGGATCAACGTTAATGCCCAAAATTCTGCTCTTTGATTTAATTGCAGCCCAACCATCAATTCAAAGATTAATAGCACCCTTCTTGTATTCTTCAATTCCCGTAAAGAGTCATTGCAAAAAATTATGAGATCATCTGCAAATTGCAAATGCGACAACATGAAGGAACGTTCTTGATTACCTAACTCGAACCCTCTAAACAACCCAACGTTCACTGCTTTAATAAGCAACATATTTAACAACTCGCGATAATGAATAGACCTGACGCAACAGTTTAGCAATTCGAAATTCTTCCGTAGGTGACTGTTTACTAGCACCGATATGGAAGCCATGGACACATATTTGAAAATCAAAGTACACCATTTCTCACCAAATCCCATACTCTCCATGATTTTCAACAAAATCGACCAATCCATTAAATCATACGCTCTTTTAAAATCCACCTTAGAAACAACCCCCTTCAATCATTTTTTCCTCCAAAATTCGATACCCTCATTCGCTATAAATAAACGGTCCATAATTTCTCTTCGGAATAAAGGTGAATTGTGAAGGGCTAATTATATAATTAATGCACAACCTCAATCTTCTTGCTAACACCTTCGAAAGAATTTTATATAGCCCTCCTACAAGGCTAATAGGCCAGAAATCTTCTAAACAATCTGGATTGACCATTTTTGGAATAAAAGTGATAGATTAGTGATTCACCCCCTTCTCCCAATCCTTCCCATTATAAAACTCATTGAAGAAAACTACAATATCTTATTTCAAGTTCGGCTAATTTTTTTTGAAGAACCCCAAATTCAAGTCGTCAGATCCTGGAGCTTTGTTACTATCCGAGTGTGCTACTGCATCCTAAATCTCTTCCATCGAAAAGGGTTTCTCCAAAATTGAACTTTGAATCTCCGAGAGTTTTGGAAAAACCAAGTTCATTTCTTCAACTTCCAAAGCAATTTTCTGATTATACACATCTTTAAAGAAGTCCACCGCACAAGCTCTAATCAAACTTGGGTCAGAAATTTGTTCCTTATTCACTTTGAGAGACTTAATTCCATTCAGACTACCTCTAATTCAAGCACACTGATTAAAGAATCTTGAGTTCCTGTCACCTTCCAACCCCCATTTTAGTCTCCACTTTTGTAGCCAAATAAATTCTTCTTTGTTATAGAGATCCCGTAACTCTTTCTTTGCTTCAACCAGTAACTTCATAGACATCGTAGGATATCCCTGCTTCATAGTTAATTCCATCTCCTGGATTGATCTCTCAAGACTAGAAATTCTACCAGGTAACTCCATATGTCTCTTCCCTGACCAGCTCTTCACCGCATATTTTACCCTTTTAAGCAAACTGAAAATTAACTTCTCCCCGTCTCTACGAATCTTAACAACTCCTCCATCATCTCATTAAAACCCGCCTCCTCCATAACGCAGTTAAACATTCTAAATGGTTTAGGTCCCCAATTAATTTCGCTATTTTCCTGAATGATGGCATTATGATCGAAAATTGACCTCGGAAGCTAGCTTTGACTAACTTTAGGAAAAAGATAAAGAAATCTTTGATCCAATAAAAATCGATCGAGTCTTACAAAAGTCGAAGGTTCCCTGTTGTTAAACCATGTGAAACGTCCTAATTTCACAGGTCCACCCAATTTCTCTTCATGCGATAAGATCGCATTAAAGTCTACACCTAAACACATTGGACAATCAAGTTGCTCTATGAAGGACCAGAGATCCCCAAAGAACTCTTCTTTCTCTAAATCAACACTCGGACCATACTGCAGAGCCAACTGCAGAAGACACCATCGAACCACGCAGCAGCTTCCCCCAATTTTTCGTAATAACGTTGGGAGCACTACTTTAACTTTCGATTCTTGAATAAATAGAAAAGTGGGTTTCTTCTCGTCAATTAACCGCCTTACAGCTCTAGCTTTAACCCTTCTACCCAAGCCTCTAACATTCCACGACACTAAGGACAACTTACCCATACTGATAACTCCAATACCTTAAATATATACCCGTTATTGCAACAAAACTTCTATGGATGTATTCCGACTGTACCACGAACTCATTCTCATTCAACATAGAAATAACACCACCAGCAGAGCCAACTGCAGAATACACCGCCGAACCACGTAGCAGCTTCCCCCCAATTTTCCGTAGTGACGATGGGTGCATTGCTTCAACTTTCGATTCTTGAATAAATAGAAAAGTGGGTTTCTTTTCGTCAATTAACCGCCTTACAACTCTAGCTTTAACCCTTCTACCCAAACATCTAACATTCCACGACACTAAGGTCAACGTACCCATACTGATAACTCTAATACCTTAAATACCCAATCCAATTAACTTTCCCCTTGCTTCTCCCTCTCCTTTTCCAAAGTTAAAACTTTGTTCGTAAAAGCTTTCTTCCCACCTCTAAACGTGACACCCAACTATTCGCTAGCATTCTAACACCTCCATCTTTAGCTCCAGTCTATTCGGAGATAAAATTAATACTCCTTGACCACTGCAGCTCTTAGCTCCCCTCCTCCTTGATCTCGAATAAACTCGATCGAAGAATCCACTCTCAGCTCTACCAACAGAAGCACTTCTACCTGACTGCCCAAGTCGAACCGAAGAAGAGGGCCATTTGTGGAAGCTGATCGAGGCTAAGAGACACTCGACTCACCAAATCCAGCACTTTATTGTTAACCTGTTGATTGGATCTTATTTATCAAATATAGATGTTATATTTGTGATGCAATTGTACATGTTTATCTCTGCATGCTGTCCTTTCATTTTAATTCTCTTTCAGAGTTGTCTTCCATGCAATTAACAGTTATAATGTCACTATTGAGTAGGATCTGCTGCTGGCTGGGGTCGACAGGATGATGCTGGTGTGGTAAAGGTATACATGTCTAGAATCATTCCACTATTCTCAATTGATAGAAATCACTGTTCAAAGATTACTTATATTTCAATATAAAGTGAATATCTAAAGAATATTGAATGGTTAAAGTTCTTTCTTTTTACTTGCTCAAATGTTCACATTACTTCCCCTAAGTTGATTTCAATTAATCAATCCCCATACTATGAACTTGGAAGGCTTGCTCTATCAAGAAAAGTTATTAACCCCTTTGGCAGATTGCGATCAAGCTTGGTGATGTGCTATAATTTCGTTCTTACTAATTTTAGGAAAAATAAATCACATCTATGCCACCATAGCATGTTCTCCTTCTTTGCAACTTGAAATTCAGTTTTCCATTTAGTACCTTGCGTTAAAGTTCGATTGCGGAGGTAGTTACAAACTTACATAAGTGCATCCAGTAAAACCGATGAAATAGCCTCAATTCAGAATTTATCTTATTTGTTGGAATTATAGGATTTCCATAATTTTATTGGGAAAAATCAACACCATAATACTTGTGGAAATGGAGCTTATCCACAAAATGCTAATTGAGAGATAGAAATTCACAGGTTATGTGAGAAAGGTCGAAACCAGAAAGGGTATAGATGACCCTTAAATAACAATAATATAACGTGTGATAGTGATGGAAAACTGATAGTGGGACTAATGTCTAATAATCTATCAACATGGTGAATGAGAATTGTTTATGGTTGAAATTTCTTTAAGTGAAAGAGAAACAAAATTTTGGTACAAGAGCAGATATCAAATCTTTCTTGGTGTCTTACAAGTTAGTCTGCTTAGCTATTTCAGGGGTTTGAATATCTAATCCTTGTTCCCAAGATATACATTCTTCAGATGCCGTCTCTCTGTAATTTTACTTAAGTTTTTACTTTTTGAAAAATTAGAATTGAATATTTAATTGTTTTCTTACTTTCACCTCTTTCTTTTTGTTTCAAATCCCCTTATTTCAAGCTCAATTTGGCCATTATCCAACTAGAACTGGCAACAAGATTGGATCTGGGGTTTACATGGCATGAAACGACCTCGAAAAAGTCTAGCATTGGCTTGAATAAGATGGAAAATGTGATGTTTCAAGCTATTTCTCACTTGTTTGAGGGCATCTTTGATCATATTGACATCAGATATGGATTAGATCTATGATACTCAGGCTCGAGTGTGAGTGTCGGATAATAGTTGTGTCTGACATGATTATGTTCAATCTTTAAAAGTTTTTCCTTGTTGGAGAGTCCTTAAGAGGCTCATATCTTCATACCCATGTTTGAATATGTATCAAATATGGGTTTCGGACATAGTATTTCAAGAAAAATGGAGAGTCAGAGCAACCTAAGCGTAGATTGGCTAGTCCATGATAATGGTTGGATTCTGCCTGACATGAGTAAGATCAGGAGATGGAAGAGGAAGTGGAGTCAAAGAAGGGAAGAACGAAAAATAGGATAACAGTTTAAAAACCTTTTGATTCTTTTAGTAGAAGTTTCTCTTTGAATTTTTTTATACTTTGAGTCTTTTTAAAAAAAATTCTATTTTTTTATTTTTCAAGAATAACAATTAAAATTATAGTAAAGAAAAAAGAAACTGTTCTAAAAGAGAATTTGGTTCTTTATAAAAGATAATTTCCACTTTTCTGTTTTTTAAAAATATAGAAAATTTATTTTCAAACTATTTTATGCCATGTGATAGGCACTTCTCGTTGACATGTACAAATGAAACAATCTAAGGCAATGATGTGGCATTTGTTTGGTCATGTATCGTTTTTTGTTTGTTGATAGCTATGTTACTTGGACTTAGGTATGATGCATGTATCTATTTGACACATGTATGCTTAACTTTTTGCAAACCGTTTTCATGTATTTAGTGTCCCTTGGAGTGTTGTATTTGACTGCACATGTCTTTGTGAATAGAGAAGAAATTGAATGTTGAAGGGAAAAAGGAGAGAAATTGAATGTTGAAGGGAAAAATGAGAGAAAAAGAAGGAAGAAAGAGCTGCTTCCATGAGATAGAAAGAGAAGGAAAAGGAAAAAAGATTTTTTCTTAAAATTCTGTTTTTTTAAAGGAATAGTAGGTCTCATTAAAAGCCCCCTTCATGATTAATGGAACTTGAAGATAGTTCCTTAATCAGCGGAAGGAGGAAAAGAGTGCCTTATGGTTTCATTAACTTCAAATAATTGCATAATAAACAAGGTCTAATCTCCCTAAAGAGATAGAAAACCAACAAGAAACAGCCCTTAACAGAACATAATAATCAACCAATGCCTACCTTAGCTAGGACATCCGCCTCTATATTAGCTGTCATATTAATCCATCTAATAAGACCTTCACAAACACTAAATTTTTGAATAATGTCTTTAACAATATGAACATAAACAACAGGACATAAGACAACATCCTTTACCCAGCCAACTACCACCCTACTATCACTCTCAATAATCAACCTATCCTTAAAGCTATGACGAATAGATTCATAAAAATTTAAACCCTTTAGGATAGCTTTCAATTCCATCAAAGTTGGAGGCCCCGGACCAGCAACCTCTTTGAAGGAGCCAAGAATCGAACCAGACATGTTTTTTAGAACACCACCTAAACCACTCCTCTTCCAATCACTAGAAATAGCCGCATCCACATTAAGTTCAATAAAACCCTTTGGAGGAGGGGACCAAGGAAACTTAGTTGAAATCCAATTAGCATGGGACGAGCAAGAGTCCCCTAAGGAAGGGTTAGCAATAAGAGCATCCTTGGAGATAGAAATCTTAGTTTCCTTAGCTAGAAACCATGAAGCAAGCCTGACCCTTGCTAGAAAAAAAATTTCTGCTCAATCTAGCTTTCCACCTTTGAACGCTATAGAATTCCTAGTTTTCCATATTGTCCATATAACCACTCCAGGGATAAGTGACCAAATTAGAGAGTTGGTCTTTAATTCAACCCATGCAAGTAGGAATCTTTTAGCATCTTTATGAAAAACAGACTGAAAATTCCAATAGCCCATGAATTTAGTCCAAATTGGCCAAACAACCGAACAGAAAAAGAATAAATGAGATGGTGACTCTTCTACTAGCTTACAAAAAGGACATAAAGTTTTATTTATGCCCTGAACACTTCTCTTAACCAGAGCTGTCTTCACTGCCAGCTTCTTTAAGATCACTTGCCAAAGAAAAGTCTCCACTCTTGGAGGCAGCAAGCCCCTCCAAACAATAGTCTTCCAAAAATTAGCTTCCTCCGAAACAAAAGTACCCGAATAAGATAAATTAACACATGATTTAACAGAGAAAACCCCGTCTCCATTACCCTTCCAAAATAGTCCATCAGCAGAATCAACAGAAATAGAAAAATCCGAAATAACAGCCATCAAATTTGTCCATTGCTCATATTCCCAGTCATTCAATTCCCTTCTCAACTGAACATTCCAAAACCAGCCCTCGAGCTGTATTCCCCAAATTGAAATAATTTTTCAGTTTTGTTCATTGCAATAGAGTCTAGGGAACATGACCATTAAAGGATGATCCAATGCCCAAGTGTCTTGCCAAAACCGAATATTCCTCCCATTACCAATTTTATAGCTATACTTGCTTCTGATAATACTGCCCATCAAATCAGCTTTAAAATGATTACTCACCATAGACCTCCATATCCAAGAGTATTTAGGAGAAACATTACTGTCAAAATGCATTAAGGAAGAGTCCATTTTGTATTTGATGCAAAGCATTTCCCTCCAAATCGCCTTCCTCTCAATAGCAAACCTCCAAGCCCATTTTTCCAAGAGTGCCCTATTCATCACATTTAAATTAGGAACTCCCAAACCACCTTCAATCTTTGGTTTACAAACATCGGACCACCTCACCTAATGAATCTTTTTTCTCATCTCTACCACTCCATAAGAAATTTGACATAATAGAATTAAGGATCTTGTAAACTGAAGCCGGAACCTTGAACATTGACAAAAGTATGTAGGAAGTGAACATAGGACTGATTTAATCAGAACCAGCCTGCCTGCCATTGAAAGAGATGATCCTTGCCAACCCACTAACCTCTTATAGAAGCTTTGAACCATTGGATCCCACAGAATGTTGGAGTTCCTGTGTGGACCAAGAGGGGGTCCCAAATATTCTTAGGGAAAAGTACCCACTGAAAATTCTGTTTGATCCTACCTCAAGCATGAACTGGTTGTTTAACTGATAATTAGATATGCTAAATAAGGAAAGATACAGATTACATTAAATATTTACAACCCATAAATGACTAATATTTGCTGAGTCAATCCCTGATATTATTCTAAATCAAATCCTAAGATTATGTATATCACAACAATCTCAAACACAACTGTCGGACATGGGTGTTCCTAAAATGAAAAGTCGAAGTAACACAGGTTGAGGGATACCTCATCCGATTTTGTTGGGTTGTTTCGTGTTAGGACTTAGGATATGTTGATAGACATAATGAAAGTTTAGGTATCACATTGAATATTTCTTTCAGTACCCAATCACAACCAATTTTCCTAATTATAGGGACCAATTGAGCATTCTCCCAAAAGTAAAACTTGTTTTAATAAAAAAAATCCATAAATCAATTAAAATGGTAATGGTGTTTAAAGTTATCATTCTCACTTGAAGAATTCGAGTTGGAGCTCAAGGGTAAGACTTATTTTGGAGAGCGATAACAGTAAAGCGATAGACTGGATCAAGTGTATGAGCTCTTGTCCTATGCTATTTAGTTTGCTTGTGAAGGAAATTGGGTCTTTGGTAGTAGATAGGAATGTTATTGTAAAACATGTTAGTAGAGTTGTGAACTGTAAAGCAGATGAATTAGCTAAGATAAGAATTGGATGAACTTGTGTTTTTTGGTTCTTCTAGGTTGTTTTGTCCGATTTTAGGTGGTGTTGTTGTAATGGTTGTCTTGTATTGTTTTCTTGGTTGGTATTAAAATTTTGAGGCACCCTTTTCCTCCTTATAGTGTCCGTCGAGATACCTTAGTGTTTTTGACGGTTATAAAGGGGGTTTTTAACAAGACCTTCCTTTCTTTTTAAAAAAAATATCAGCTGGTTATTGTAATTAACACTTTGTTGATGTAACCAGCTTTCCTTATTCTGTAGGTATATGAAACCCTCACAGGTGTTAAAGTTGAAGGAAAACTTCGAGCTCTTAAGAAGGAAGTTGTCTTTCAAAGTCTTCCGCCTGAGTGGCCAGCGGATCCTATCAATGACATACATATGCTAAACCAGAAAAATTCAAAAACACTGGTTGTTCTTGATGATGATCCAACTGGAACACAAACTGTTCATGATGTTGAGGTATTAACTGAATGGTAAGTTTTATTGTTTTAATTGTCTTACTGCTTTGCTATGAAGCATGGATATGCCTAAACCCCTTGTGTATACCTGTCATGTCTATCTTGGTCATAGGCATGAATGATGAATCTAACATGTTGGGATACTTGTGTAACACAGTAAATAAACAGTAGTGTAATTATTTTATTTTGATGTGACCGGACACAGGATTAGCTTCAGGAATTCTAAAATAAAAATGCAGGAAGCAAGGGGATAGTGTTGCTTCCAATGAAGTGATGCTGGTAGCAGTCCCACCATGGACATAGGGCTATGAGAAAATTTGAGATTATAAAAAGGAATAGAAGAAAAAAGAAAGAGACAAGACTAGTCTGGACATAATGATAGGGTATATGTAGGGGCAGGGGACTTATGGTTGTGAAATGGTCTATGGTTTGGAAGAGAAGGGGGGTAATAAGTAACAACAAAACTAACTTACAGACTGTGGGGCATATATTATGGGTTACATTGCGTTTCAACCTTATGGTCCCTTGCATCTGATCATAACATAATTAAGTTCCAAAAATGTTAAGGTTATGCAGCTGGTTTATAAAAATATTTGCAATGTAGTAGTTGAATCATCTTAAATTATGAGGCCTCTTTCCTATTAAAAAAATCATCTTAAATTATTGGTAGAATAGAATGTCTTCTACACACATATATATATAGAGGAGGCCTCGTTAAAAACCCCTTTCATGATTAATGGAGCGCCAAAGGTACTCTTTAATCAGCTGAAGGAAGAAAAGAGTGCCTCAAAATTCATTAATAACAGAAATATACGTAATGTTTAAAAACAGCCAAAATCACACCCATTACAATGAACAACCCGAAACACTTAAAATTAAAACAACCTAAACAAAAAATTGAAACTAGCCAATACCAACCTCAGCTAAACCATCAGCCTCAATATTAGCTGTCCTAGCAACCCATCGAATAATACCCTCCATATCTCTTAACCTAACATCAATGTCCTTAACTAAAACAGTATAAACAAAAGGACATCTATCTAAATTCTTAACCCATTCCACTGAAAGTTTACTATCACTTTCAACAATCAAACATTTCTTGAAACGCTGTCGAAGAGAATCAAAGAAAATTAAGCCCTTCTTAATGGCTTTAAGCTCCATCAAAGGAGGACTTGGTCCAGTAGCCTCTTGGAAAGAACCCAACACCGAACCATCATCATCTCTTAATAAACCACCTATACCACTTTTCCTCCACTCACCACTCACAGGTGCATCCACATTCAGTTTTAGAAAGCCCTTTGGAGGAGGAGATCAAGGCACCAATTTGATGATAGAATTCCTGTAAGAAGAGCATAAATCCCCTAGGGAAGGATTACTAATGAGAGAGTCTTTAGAAATAGATACATCCTTGAACTTAGCTAAGAACCAAGAAGCGAGCCTAAATCTTGCCATAAAAAATAGATCCATCTGATCTAACAATCCCCCTTCAAACACAATGGCATTTCTGAATTTTCAAATAGTCCAAAGAACAACTCCCGGAATAAAAGACCAAATAGATGAATAAGGCACCAAATCTTCCCAAGCTAATAAAAAACTTTAAGCATTGCCATGTAGAACCGAACTAATTCTCCAAAATTTCAGAAACTTATTCCAAAGGGACCACGAAACAGAGCAGGTGAAGAATAAATGTGAGGAAGATTCGATCTTCCTATTACAAAAAGGACATGCAATGTCCACAATCCCCGAAACCCCTCGCTTTTGTAATTCAGACTTAACAGGCAATTTCTGATGCACTACCTGCCACATAAAAGTATGCACTCTTGGAGGCACTAATCCCCTCCAAATGTTTTTCATCCAAAAAGTCTCAGCTGCCGAATTAAAGTAGCATAACTTCACACAAGAGTTGACAGTATAAATACCTTCCCCATTTCCTCTCTAAATCAAACCATCTCTCGACTCTTGGGAAAGACTAATATTATGAATGATAGCCAGTAAGTCTGAAAACTGATCCAGTTCCAAGTCACTCAAGTTTCTTCTCATCTGAACATACCAAGACCAACCTGTTGATCGAAACTCACCAAACTCAATTAACTTTCCATTCTGATGCAAAGAAAGAGCAAATAATCTCGGGAAAACAACTTTAAAAGGCGAATCTAACGCCCAGTTGTCAAACCAAAATCGGATACTCTCTCCATTGCCCACTTGGACTTTAAACAAGCTTCGAAACTTAGCACCAAACAGATCTTCTTTATAATAATTATTGACCACCAATTTCCAAAGCCAAGAAGCATGAGCAGGAAGTTTACTATTGAACAATAATAATCTAGTGTCCAAATTATATTTGTTACAAATCACCTTCTTCCAAACGGACTCCCTATCATTAGCAAACCTCCATGACCATTTCCCTAGTAGAGCTCTATTCATGAAATTGAGGTCCAACTGAAATGTATTCATGAAATTGATTTTAGTTATTTATTTATTTGAAAAGAGTTTTTATTGTCTACTGGGTTAATATTAACTGAAATGTAAAGATAAATATTCAACCTATATACTATGCCATACTATATTGTGCTCATATCCCAATTTATCGTAAATTTTCACGAAATTGTATTTGTAGCATTCATGTACCCATAATCGTGCTACCCAGTTTCTTTGTTAAACTGAATGTCTAAACTCATTTACAGATGCTTCATGCTACATATATTTCTAGGTTTTAAAAATGTTTTCTCGTTATTTATATCCTGTTGGTTGTAACATAACAATCTTGCCTTCCAGGAGTTCCTTACTTTCTTTGCTTATATTTGTCATTTGCAGGAGTATTGAATCGCTCGTTGAACAGTTCAGGAAAAAGCCTATATGCTTCTATATTTTGACCAACTCCAGAGCACTAAGCTCTGAGAAGGTAAAGATTTTTTGGTCACATGTCAAGTTAGTCTATACCTAGATCTCATTTTTCATGACCATAGAAAGATTTTTTATTGAGAGTTTATTTCAACCAATTCAAATTTCTCTCAACCTTCTTCTTGAGCAACTAAAGATTAACATTTTGCAGGCAACTGAACTGATCAAAGATATATGCAGCAATCTTTTCTCTGCGGCAAAATCAGTTGAGCATATTGATTACACAGTAGTTCTGAGAGGTGATTCGACTTTACGAGGTCATTTTCCAGAGGCAAGTATAAGTTTGAAAATATATTTTTGAGTAAACAAATTGTTGTACTAACATATTTAGCGATATAATGACCCAGTGATTAAAATGGTGAAGTGGTGTCGTGGCAACTATTTTGCAGTAGCTGCAAATCCACCACCATTAAACACATAAATAACAGTGTGAAATAGTCCCATAAAAAATGGCTGGTTGTGCCCCAAATAAAATCCGTTATTGGGAATAATGGTCATAATGAGCTGCTATTCCTACCATCCCATTTATTTATTTATTTTGATAATAATGGGAGACTTCATTAAAAATCCCCATCATGATTAATGGAGCTCATAAAAAGTTCCTTAATCAGCGGAAGGAGAAAAAGAGTGCCTTAGAATTTCATTAAAATCATAAAAAGTACATAGGAATTACAACACCCTAAAACTCCTTTAATAGGAAGTAGAGTACCAAAAATCATCCCTAAATAACAACACATAAATCAACCTATTCCAGCCTTAGCTAGGGCATCTGCCTCTAGGTTCCTACTATCCCATTTCCCATTTAGTATTCAGTAGGACTTCATTTTTCCAAAAACTCACAACTCATACAGCTCCTTGAGCAAAATTCAAATATCAAAATCGTCAAATTGACGACTTTTTGTGTTGGGTGGATTGGGGAATTTGGAAGGATTGGTGCTAGGAGGGTTTTCAGGATGGGTTGGGTCCATTTTAGACCTCATCCTTTTTCCTTCCAAAAATATTTATGTATTCATTATTTGAGATGGCAATTATTTAAAGAGAAATTTAATAAAAGTGAATTTATTTGAAAAGTAATTAAATGTTAAATATTATAGTTGATTTAATTATGTATTATTTTATATTTGAATTTAGAAAATATTGGCTTATTTGATCATTTTTTGGACAAAGGTCATATAAACAGGTCATGGTGATAAGAATGTTTGTGATGTATTAATATGAATCAATACTTTTACTTCGTTAAGTATTAATATTTGATGTATTAATATGAATATTTGAATTATTATTTATATTCCTAGAAATTTATAGATAAGAATCAATGCTTTAGTATGAAAATATCACTAGAATGAAAAAATGGTAATTTTTCTTCTTTTTTTAAATAAAAACTCATACCTCATAAATAACTTGAAAAATGATTAAAAACGTCTTTTTTACAATTATAACTATAATTGCTAAATTTCGCAGTAAGCTGTACAAATTTGGAGAAAAATCACAATCACATAATAGCATCTATTATGTTTGCAATCCTGATAAACACATTATGACCGTAAACTTATTTTAGAATCCGATAGTGCTATGGTTGTGGAATGGATCAAGAATCCTGCTGCCACCACTTTGTTGTTCTTGTCCATAGTTAAAGCTATCGCCTCGATTGTGGTTGATAAAGGTGTTATTGTTAGGCATGTGTTGAGAGAAGAAAACTGGGAAGCGGATGAATTTGCTAAGTTGGGGATAGGCTAATTGGTTGGGGTATTTTTGTAGCATTGAGTGTGTTGTATTTGGGGAACTTTGGTCATTTTTGATATTGTGTTTTGCTTGCGGTTGGTCGATTGTCTTTAGGATATAGTTTTTATGAGTTCGGCTCGGTAATTGTTGTGTTTCTGTAGTTTTTTGTAGCTCATTGTTGAGGTGGTAGTCAAGGTTGTTTGGTGGGATTGTATTCTTCTTGTACTTGGATTTATGCAATAAAATTTTGAGGCACTCTTTTCTTCCTTCCAATGTCCGTTGAGCCACTCTTGTTGCTTGACGGTTTTGAAGGGGGTTTTAATGAGGCCTTCCATTTTATCAAAAGAAAAGAAAAGAAAAGATAAGCACATTATGACCGAAAACACGAACACAACGCAATTTAAATACATGTTAATGACTTTAGCTGTCTAACGTTTCAAGCCATGTATTGCAGGAACCAGATGCAGCTGTTTCAGTACTAGGTCAGGTGGATGCTTGGATTCTATGCCCCTTCTTTCTCCAAGGAGGCCGCTTTACCATTGATGATATACACTATGTTGCAGATTCTGATTGGTATCAACTTTAACCTAAATACAAATTGGTTTCTCTTATTAGGCCCTCTCTGTCACTTTCACACACACCTGCTAGAATGTTAAGAAAAGGAATAACTACAAATGTATGTATTCTAATATCTGGCTATTATTGGATTATATTGGCTATAGGCTTGTTCCTGCTGGAGACACAGAGTTTGCTAAAGATGCTTCCTTTGGCTATAAATCTTCAAACCTTAAAGAGGTCTGACTTTCCTGAAGTACATGCCTGTTTGTGTTATTTTTTTCTTTGTAAAAAAATTATCTAATCTGAATATGCGACTTGCTTCACCTAAATCTGTCAGTGGGTGGAGGAGAAAACAGCAGGACGAATTCCAGCTGGCAGTGTTGCATCTATTTCTATCCAACTTTTAAGAAAAGGTGGACCAGGTGCAGTTTGCAAGCTTCTTTGCGGTTTGGATAAGGTACTGTCTGTGGTGTGTGTTTCTTTTTATTTGTGCTGCTCTTAATATGCATGTGCGTTCTAGTACTCATGTGGGGAGAATTTTTGGTTGGTTGGTTGCCATCGTATGTGTATGGACTTGTAAGTTGGTGCAAGGCCATGGTTGAATTGTTTACCACTTTCTGTATATTAGAAGTTGGATTTTCATTATTTAATTGATGGCTAATAGTTTAATTACTGGTAAGATAACATTGTTCTAACTATCTCCAACTTTGTATGATTTGGACAAAGTTCATCTAGTTCTCATCACTGTTTATCAATTGCTTATCCTTTTGAAATGTGCAATGTTAAGCTCTTGTATCTGAATTATACTAGGATGGAACGGTGTTTGTTACTAGAATAACCTTCAAAACTTTAATGCATCTCAGACATTTTATATGAAAGCTATTTTTGTAATGATACTGCTGGCTGGAACTTTAATTAGATGCAAGTTATTCACTATATTTTCATTTATTTCTGAAGCAGGGATCGACATGCATAGTAAATGCAGTTAGTGAACGAGACATGGCTGTATTTGCTGATGGAATGATCCAGGTAAGATACTGGAAATATTACAGTTTTCAGTGTAATATTATCTGTTTGAACATGCTGATAAATATTTTGAGAAGTTTGGTGTATTGAGCTTTAACTCAATTGACAGGCGGAATTGAAAGGAAAATCTTTCTTATGCCGTTCTGCAGCGAGCTTTGTTTCTGCTCGCATTGGAATTATCCCAAAAGCTCCAATCCTGCCAAAGGATCTAGGATTAAGTAAAGAGAGAAGTGGTGGACTCATAGTTGTGGGTTCATATGTTCCGAAAACAACAAAACAGGTCCAAATTTGGTATTTTAAAAGTTTATTTTTATTCTTAGTTTTAAATTAATTTTAAAAGTTTATTGTTATTTCTGTTTTGGTTTCAATCCAAAGTCTATTTAATTAAATCTATTGTATGTCTATAATTTTTTTTCAATGTTTATGATCAGTTGATCCCTTAATTGGACGAAAATATTACACCATCCGCTCCTTTTTCCAAGTGGGATAGAATTGCATGTGGTATGAATTACGTATAATAGATGCGTCAACATAGAATTTCTCTTAAGTAGGTTCCAAGATACTAAATGGTCTTTTTCGAGACTTGCCTAAATTAAAGAAAAAGACTTCTTTAATACATGCTAAAAGAATGCCATGTGACTATAAATCTGTATTATTTATGCCTCGTTACAATTTTGTCTTAGTTGGCGGAGGTCTTGAAATTTCCTTCCTCGCCCCTGGAGGATTCAATTGATTAAATGATCGATTAGATGAATTTACTATAAAGGCTTATTATATATTTTAGCCTTCAATTTTTCTAAGTGGATATTCTCTTCTTTGCATGTCTTTCATTCAGGTTGAAGAGCTTCAGTCACAATATGGACATATGTTGAAAAGCATTGAGGTGACCAAAATTCATAATATGTATCTTTGTTTTGTGCTTTAAGCTTAGTTGGTCTTTTTGACGCCAAAATATGTGAAACTACCGCAAAATTTTGCAATGTGCCCAATGTACTAGTGGTTTGTACTAGATATAGAAAATAGAGAAGACGGTTTGGAACAGAGAAGAGATTGTATTCTCTGTAATTTTTCTCATTGAAAATGACTACATAGTTTAGGACTTAATAGGCAGATTTACAATAGGTAAACAACTCTAACTTAGAGTCCTATTAGGAGTTAACTTAATCTGACTAATATTCTGTCTACTTTTATCTTATCTATTCTCTTAATTAGATAAGATGTCGAGTACAAAGTAAATAAAAAAAACTCTAATAATTAAATTACAATAAAATTCTAATTTATGTGGCTACAATCTACACTAGGTACTAAGTTTTTGTTCTTTGTTGTGAACAGGTTTCTGTTCACAAAGTTGCTATGAAGTCATCAGAAGAAAGGAAGGAGGAAATTAATAAAACTGCAGAGATGGCTTCTGTGTTTCTTGCAGCTCGGAAAGATACTCTGATAATGAGCAGCAGAGAACTCATCACTGGAAAAAGTTTGTTTCAAGTTTCTTGGAAAATACTCATGCATGAATATAAAATAATTCTTGCTATTTTTGGAGACTTTATTAGTGCAATAATTTTGTTTCTCTTTTTCTCTTTATTGAAATGGCAATTGTTTTACCTTCCTTTCTTGATAGCTGCTTCTGAGAGTTTAGAGATCAACTTCAAAGTGAGCTCTGCACTGGTTGAAGTAGTCAGGCTGATAACTACAAGACCTCGTTATATTCTGGCCAAGGTACTTAAGTTAAATATTGACCAAGCATTACTTGGTTATATTTTTTAGGCATGCCAGATCTGATATCCCTCAGGAGTCATGTACTTCCATCTTTTGGGAAAGTTGTTCATCAAATTTATTTTGCTTTCATAGAATACCTTTGCAGTAATTTCCACCAACTTCATTCTTTGGCAGCTGAAAATGATAAAATGTTTTTATTTTCAACCTCGCTATGATTACCTGATATTTTTATTGCAATAATGTTTGACATAACTGTATTTTTTTTCAACTAAATTGATAACTCTGTGGTCAGTGATCATCGCATCTCTTTTTGTTTAAATTTTTGGCTAGAATCTTTTGTCATAAAGAAACTGGGATCCCTGTGAGTTTTGAGTTGCATTTGAGTGAGATTATTTCAAACATTCCAAACGTACAGCATGCATGTTGCATGAATTTAAATCAAATGTAGCAAACAAATGGATAATTTGATATTGTTCCATCTTAACTCTCCAAAGCAGACCTTGACATTTTCTTTCTGGTTATTTTAGTTTATTTTGTTGGTATATATTTTATTTGGAGTGATATTTAACTTTTTATCAATTTTAGAAGATTTTAAATTTCTAATGAAGGTCACCCTTTAGCCACATATCACTGCAATGAAATAATTGATTTTTGCATTTTGTATCTTCTTCATGTTATGTTTTTCACTGGTTCTTACCAATTGAGTGCAACCAATTTTTCTTATTCAAATGTTTTGAAACAAAATAATGGTCTATGCCTTTCTGTTTTAGGGTGGAATCACCTCATCAGACCTTGCTACAAAAGCTCTCGAAGCAAAATGTGCCAAAGTAGTCGGACAGGCCCTAGCCGGAGTCCCTTTGTGGGAGCTAGGGCCTGAAAGTAGACATCCCGGAGTTCCCTACATTGTTTTCCCTGGTAGAAGTTTTTTCTTTCTTTTTTCATGTTTTTGAACAGATTGGACTAAAATCAAAAAGTCGAGCCTAACTCTAGTAAATTACCTTTCATAGGTAATGTTGGCGACAGCAAAGCACTAGCAGAAGTTGTGAGATCTTGGGCTCGCCCACTCAGACTTTCATCAACAAAGGAGATCCTAAGTGTAATTAATAGATGCTCTCTTTTACTATATTTCTTATTAATAATCCTTTCCCGGGTATTGACAATGTTTCTCTCCTTAAAGAATGCTGAAATGGGTGGCTATGCTGTTGGAGCCTTCAATGTCTATAACATGGAAGGAGTCGAGGCTGTAGTAGCAGCTGCAAAGCAAGAACGTAGTCCAGCTATTTTACAGGTCAGAAGCTGGTTTTTTGAAATTATATAAAAAAATTATTCACATAAAGAAGATGTATCATTTTTCTCTTGCACCATACATTGACATCTGTGAGTTTCGAATTTGGATTCATCTATTTTTTTGTCTGAAAAATAACCCGTCACCTGATGCTACCTATTATACATATATGTCCAATAAGTAACCACCCTGAGCCTGATCTTACTGCTTACACATGTCCAACAACTAACCGCTGAGGCCAATCTGTAATGACATACATCTGTCCAACAGGTAAAATTGGGACCCAATTTTTGCAATTACCTATGCCATTTGCGTAATAAATTTAAGAGATGCAAAATCAAGTTATGTAGATGATCATTGGTTAGGGGAAGACCTTACTGGAATGTGGCAAACACATGCCAAAAGCCCTAGTGGAGCAAGATCTGGTTTACCTTCTTCTTGTCTGGATTGTGCATTCATATCAAGTATACAGAAAATAAGAAACTTGAATGCCCTTTTCAACTCAAGGTTGCAGGATATAACCTTTATTTAATTTTTGTATTGTGCATTTTGATTAATGTTGGGCTTTGGTAGGGTAGAAAGGAGAAAGAATGCAAAAGATTTTAATCTAATGGACAAGTTTCAAATGGCTTCCAAATTTAGTATAGTAATTGCTTAAAATGGTTGTCATTTCAATCCTCTTTACAAAGAAAATTGTAGTGTACCCCTTACATCACCATGTCCAATAGGCCAACCATCAACAATTTGTTGGAACCGTTTTCTTCTTTCTTTAGTTCCAATTCCAAAAATAATTTCTAATAGATCCATTTCTTTTCCAGGTTCATCCTGCTGCGTTTAAGCAAGGAGGGCTTACATTGGTTGCGTGTTGTATATCTGCTGCAGAACAGGCCAGCGTAAGTAGCCCTTCATTTACCAAGTCAGAATGGAAAAAAAGAATGGAATAAGATGCAAATTGGCTTACATATCAAGCATCAAAAAGTAGTATCTTCAATGTGTCTGCCTTGTAGTTTTCAAATTGTCTATTAAACTTTGTCCTGGTAATAGTAGCAAGAACATCTGGTTTGTGTTGACTGGGATGTCTCCTTTGTTTACTTACAATTGCTGGTTATGCTAAAATTTTGAGCTGGTAAACCCATTACAGATTCCTAACATACATACATACAGTACAAGAACAAACTGATACTTTTATTTAAATTTTCAGTTTCTGTTTCATCTCATCTGAGAGAGAAAATACCCAGGATGAGGCTGTTATTTGTTCCTTGTTGAAGTCACATACAATACATCTCCTGGATGTTGTATTTAGCTACACATAGGCCCGAGAACAAAACCATCACCCTGAAGATGAAATTTATTGCAAATAACATAACATAATTATTCAAGTGCTAGTTTTACAAAACAGAGGGGGGAAAAGAAGGAATTTGAGTTGATGCATGTGCATGTATTGCAGGTTCCCATCACTGTTCACTTTGACCATGGTACTTCAAAGAAAGAACTGTTGGAATCTCTTGAGCTGGTGAGTTAGCATGTTTTTACCAAAGTGGAAACATGAATTAGAAACATAATAGAATTCTGTTTGTGGAATGATAATTGTTGATATTCCTTAAGTGTTTACATAGTAAGTTTGTTTATGATATAAAATTGTTTTTTATTACTGCTAGGGCTTTGATTCAGTAATGGTGGATGCTTCACATCTTCCCTTCAAGGATAATATTTCATACACAAAGCACATATCAAACTTGGCCCACTTAAAGGATATGCTTGTGGAGGCAGAACTTGGAAGATTGTCTGGAATTGAAGATGATTTGACTGTTGAAGATTATGAAGCAAAGCTGACTGATGTTAATCAGGTCACAGAACTTGATCAAATTGAAAAATGCTTTACTACTATTTTTTTGATAAGAATTGTAGGCCTCGTTAAAAACCCCCTTTTTGATTATAGGAGCTTATAACGAAGCTCCTTAATCAGTGGAAGGAGGAAAAGAGTGCCTTAGAAATTTATTCAACACCTGAAATTACATAAGATACAACCAGAAAAACACCCCTTCAAAAACAGAAAAACAGAAGACACCCAAAAACAACCATAACCAACACCATTGACTTAGGGTAAACCAATTTAGATACCTGATCGGTTTACTACTATCATTTTTCTATTGCTCATATCAAAGTTCACCTCATGAAATTCAGGCTCAAGCATTCATAGATGAGACTGGGATAGATGCCTTGGCAGTATGCATTGGGAATGTGCATGGAAAATATCCAGCAAGTGGCCCAAATCTCAAACTTGATTTGCTTAAGGTCAAGTATACGTATTTATCATTTTATACTGTAGCTTATTTTATTAATATCTCAATACTTGCTGGTTTATAGTTAGCCTTTGTGTTGAATTCTGTCTTACTAGTAGCAGGCTGCATTTACTTGGGAGTATTTATGCTGTTCAAAGTTCTGGTTAAGGATGGATGCCGTGTTCAATGTTTCAACTAAATAACAGTGTTAAAGAGAACGTGATGCATGCTTATACTATAATTCAATTCACAAAAATTATTTAATGAGATCTACTTGGTGCTTCACATGGAACTCTTTGAACGAGATAGGCAAAGTTAGAGTCAAGACAGTTGTTTTCTAGGGATGAGGTGTACATTCATCACTTATGTAGTTGATCTAAATTTACTGGAAATGTTTTAACCTGTGTAGTTACAACTATAAATATAGTTTTGAAGCAATTTTTCGCAAGATCTTTTATTAACCAATAAATGATGCTTTGCGTATTTAAATATTGCAATTCTTTTTCATTTTTATAATTAATCACATGATGGAAAATTTCATCGTATTTTTAGTTTGTGAAAAAATCAATTAAATCTTTTCTCTATGTAATTTCAAATGAACTTTTCTCTTAGATTAAGTAAAACCAAAATTTTCTTTTTTATTTTATTTCTCTTCCTTTCTCATTGTGACATTTTCAACTAAATATAAAACCGTGGTACTTCAAACAAAGTACTGTTGCGATCTCTTGATCTGGTTAGTTAGCTTGTTTTACCAAAGTTAATACATGAATTAAAAACATAATAAAATTCTGTTTGTGGAATGTTAATTGTTGATATTCCTTTGTGTTTAGAGTAGTTTTTTTAATGGATATCTTAAAAGGTTCCCCAACTGTTATTTCTTGACCAAGTTTGCTCCAAAATTAAAAATATGATGGTACAGTTACAATAGCAAAAGGCTTGTGGTAAATTTGGAATACTTGCATAATCGAAGTGGTAAATTTCCACATCGTCCCTCTTTTAATGTCTGCTTGTATGTTTTACAGAGGTATGGTTGAAATACAATCTCATGTCAATGACTAGTATTGCACTTAGATGCTTATAGATCATCATGGGCTGATGGCAGATCAGAAGAATTCATGGTTATTGAGAAGCTAAATTACATATTGCTTTTTGTTTTTTTAATTGCTAGATCTCGGTTTTCCAGTAGCATAATAACATTTTAATGAACTCATCCTACATAAGTCCTTGGTAGCGTTGGTAAACTATTCCTCGTTGTTCAGGATCTATATGCCCTAAGTTCAAAGAAAGGAGTTTTTCTTGTGCTGCATGGAGCCTCTGGTTTGTCCAAGGAACTAGTGAAGGTATCATCTACTATCTACTTTCTCTGTGGGGTTATTCATATATAATATGACAGTTGAAGAGTTTGCTTATGTTTTGCACTAGATGAATGAATATGAGACCGATTTGCCTTGTTGATTAATTACCTTGGACAGGGTTGCATAGACCGCGGTGTGAGGAAGTTCAACGTGAACACGGAGGTACGAAAAGCTTACATGGAATCCCTGAACAGTCCGAAGGGAGATCTAGTGCATGTAATGGCTTCTGCTATAGAAGCCATGAAAGCTGTGGTTGCTGAGAAGATGCATCTATTCGGTTCTGCTGGAAAAGCCTAATGGTTTGGGGGTTAACCAGCTGTGATCATTGATCCTGCAAAATTTGGTTTAACATATTATGACCCTTTTGTGCATTAAAAACATCATATTATTCATTTCCTTTTGGAAACAAATAAATGGGCAAACTGTTGTTAAGAACGGGTTAGGCCATAAGGCTTAAACAATAAGAAAAAAGAACCAGGTTGATGAATGTTATTAGGCCTTTTGCATCCTCATGTATTTGGACTTTGCCAATTCAAGTCTTGTTTAGTAACCTTATTATGTTATTGATGAATGTAATAAGCATAATTACATCAACTTTTTTTTTTGGTATAATCACATGTATTCGATCTATTAATAGACTAATCTATATTGGGAATTGCAAAAGTCTAATATTGAGGTGACCCTCCCAATCCAGTTTGCACCATCTACAAACGCTAAGATTCAAATCACTAACATTGTTAAAAGAATCTAGTGTCTCGTCTCATTAGACCAACTGATCAGTGATATAATTACATCAATTTTATTTGTACATACATTTCAAACTAATCTAACATTATTAAACACATCCATAACTTCCATTGGTGGACTCAAATATTGTTTCCTCCATGGAACCCTAGTCTCCTTGGTACCTAATTTACCCATGGCTTTGATAACTATAATCTGGTCAAAATGGAACTTGGGATCATCATCACTCTTAGCCTTATGAAGGGTCTCAAGAAGTGCACGTTTGTGCTTGAAAACGCCTCCCTTGGCTTTCACATACATTTCATGGTACATGTGCTTATCGATCTTCTTTACTTCCCTGTACTTCCGAAGGAGTCGCCCCAGGACACGACATCTTCTCATCCACAAAAGCTTGGATGGTAGCCTTGCTTCCCTTGTTCCCTTTCTCTTGCCATATCCTTCTCTCCTGTGATTGCCTTTCCTGTATCTCCATCCGGAGCGACTTACGTTAGGCTTTTTGATAAAAAAAAAAAAAAAACTGTCCTTTACAAGCTTTCTTCCATGCCTGCATCAGTATTAGGTCCATGCGCCATTAATGAAACATGCTTCTTAGTTTATATATAATTAGGGACAAATATAGACTTTTATGTTAGACGGACGAATTTATAAAATTTGAATGAAAATAAATTTATAAAATTTTAGGGGAACGAGAATAGATTTTCAATAAAAATATAAAATATATATAAATTTAATTTTTTTAGGGGTGAACCGCCCCTAGGTCTATCCCTGTATATAATCATGAACTGCATGTAAGTTTCCGAGATTAATTCAGGAAAATGACCAAGTGAGTACAAGGCCTCCATATATACTAATAACAAAATAAATTCGAATGGGATAAACACAAATAAAATTTCAGGGTGTGCACCATCAATAAATTAACAACTAATATAAAGAAATTTGAATTTCATGGTGAGCACATATCTACCCTGACCTCCATGTACATCTTCCACTGTAATGCTTATACATACATAGGTTGCCGATAAATAAGAAATAAAAAGGGGAATAGGGAGACGTAGGGGAATTGGCCAGGGAGATAAGAAGGGCCTCGCAGGGGTCGACCCATACTTTTCCCTTTCCACAATTGAGGCTTGCAGCCAGGCGCTTATGCAGCTTCAATGACACCATTTCTACTGCTATATACACATACTTCTAACTTCTAATTCTCCCTCTCTGTATATATATATATATATATATACTTTGTCCAATGATTCTGCTTGTAATTTTCTTTCGTGGGCCGCAAGTGTATTCCATGTTCTTGTTTGACTACAATCACCCTTTCAACATTTCACAACCTTCCTTTTCTTGGGGACAGTTTGTTGACTAAGAAGCATAAATTATGAACAATATTATTACTACAATCCACAACTATAAAATTATTTCAATGATTATAGGATATTGTGTGCTTAATTTACGATTATGATTGTAAATCTTTATTATAATTTAGGATATTTCCTATTTTGAATAAAATTATCATTGCAAATTATAACACAAATGAATAATATTATGAAATGTTAATTAATCGTGTCAATCTCGAATCATCACAAAATATGTTATACTTGTGCTACCAAACACATTATGGCGAATGACGTGGTCAAGGATAATATTATTAATGCATTATCCTATTTAAATAGTGCAATATGAGCAAGGGACAAGCAATGACCTTAGTCACCCAAAAATGAAAATTTTGCAATTAAATCCCTTAAGAAACAATGATAATATAATAAATTAATCCACTGATAAAATTACAATTTGACAACAAAATTCATTTCTCAATTCATACCAATAAAAGAATTTCCAGCATCATTGTTTCAAATAATGTTTATAGAATAGCAAACTATAACAATCGACGACTTAAGCCGTCGACTCGAAAGCATAGAAATTGAACATATCCTATTAACATGATGAACTTATATATTTCAAACCAAAATAAGTACCGTAAACATGAAGTATCAGAATAATGTGAATTGGTAGATGTTAGGTCAAATTTTTCAATATTTCAACAAGGTGATAGCCGTTTTCATTCCGAACAAAAGGCAATGCAAGAAGGGCAAAGTATGGTTTTGCTTTTACCACACAACTGCACATTTTGTTAACAATTAACCAAGTGATAGACAGAGTGACATACCTCTGGAATTCGGATGTGATCCAGTGTCATTAGTACACGTCAACCCTCATGAACTGAGTTGCAGTCACGGTACACCCACAGTTTTGACAAATACCAATGTAGACATTCACAACCGGAGACATCATGGAAGAAGATAATCATTCTATATAAACCAAAAGCCAATGTACATTCGAAAGCCAATGTACATTCGAAAGGGGGATAATCATTCTATATAGTCATTGTTGACGAAAATGTTTCAGGCCTAGCCTAACTCTAAAGCCACAATGAATATATCAATCTACATGGCTGCTAAATCACGGATATAGTCTTCCCACATTTCAGTTGCAATTGAATCCCTCAACTGTAAACTGTGTTCTGGATGTTCTGCTTCAAATGCACCTTCCAGATCATGGGTATCAACATGCATCATTGCTTGTTCCACCTCTAGTGGAGCCAATGATTCCTGTATCTGTAAGGCAGTCTCCGGTTCGTATATTTTAAAAAGCATATCATCAGGTTTCTCCCTACGGATGTAGTTATGCAATGCACATGCTGCTACCACCAATTTCACCTGTGTTTGCAATGGGTAAGGAGGGGCCGACATCAGAATAGGGAACCTTTCCTTTAAGGCCCCAAAAGTACGATCAGTAGTATTTCGCAGCAAGAAGTGTCGTTGATTAAATAGCTCCTTGGCATCTTGAAGATGATAACCACTGGGAAATTCATCCGAATTATAGGGGACACCAAGATACGGGGCAATGAAGCCTGACATATTTGCATATTTATTATCCACAAGGTAGTATCTTCCTGCATAATAGAAAATTTCCATTGAACTGCTAAAACTGGAACTTTAGGAAGTAATAGACAGCTTAAATGCATTATTCTAGATGTTCTAAGAGATTTAAGGCACATCTGGAGTCCAAATATGGATTAAGATCCCATTCCTTAAAATAATGCTTGTATTAATTATTCAAACACCAAGTGAAAATGCCAATTTATTCAGCATCCAAGAAAAAGAAACTAGTGAGTATCTGGTGAATATGTAAATACCTTCAGGGACTTGCAACTTATTACGTCTGGTAAGTGCTGAATTTAGAACTCTCAAATCTGATGCTGAGCCCTCCCAACCAGCTAGAACATAATGGAATTTAAGATCAAATGAACAAGCTGCCAGAACATTCTGAGAAAGTAATCCATTCTTATTTCGGAAAGGTCCTTGCTCATCTACACCAACCATAACTGGGACATGTATGCCATCAACGGCTCCCACACAATCCTACAAAATGTTGTTGAAAATGAGATAAAAGTGACCCAAAAATAGATACTAGTAAAACTACATATTAGGAACACCTTAAAATATGGATAAAATCGAGGATCCTGCGAGATTTCTGGTGGAACATCAGATCTTGGAGGCTGAAAGAATTCTAATGAAATTGCCATAATTGCATTCAGAACATTATTGAAATGGCGACTGATGGTTTCACCAGAGTATCTGAATAACTCCTGCACAGCCCGAGTCCGTAGATTATGGCCAATTATGAACAAAAAAATGGCCAATTGCTCCTCAATCTTGATACGATTTGTATGCCGAAGTAAGCCTTTGCCTTGCAGAATATCACATAATTTGTAAAACACTGGCTTATCCATGCGAAAATTTTCCAAACATCGCTCACTCTGTCCATTAAGGACTTCATCTACAAACTTCATACCATTCAATGCAAGATTATGGCTCAGTTCTTTGGGCATAAAATTTCCATAGGTTCCATCCTTTTCATCATCAGAGCTCTCCATGAGAAAACTAGCCACTGCACTTGAGAAGACACAAATCAATCATCAGTATACATTATTTGGTTTAATAATGTAACTATATCCAATAAAATCTCCATTACAACAAAGACGAGAACAAGCAATTCTAATGGGATAGTGAACTCATGAAATAAGTCAAAATAACATGAAATTCGACATTCTGTGGCTTCATTTGCGGAGATAAAGAAATGGATGTTCTGAAATCCAATGCCAGCATTGACTTTGCTATAAGGTCACTATTTACTCATTTTCTTGAAATCTTTAAATCCATTCCTGAAAATTCTTCTTTAGCCACAGCTATTCATTCACCTACTGAAATCATTGCAAAATTTTCTTCCCAAAGATTTTCTCAAAAATGTCGGACAAAATACATTAAAAAGCACAACAGAAACTGATGAAAAGGATCATAGATAAACAGAGAAGACTTTTGACATGATAACAAAAAATTCTTAACAAAAAAAATGAATCGTCACCATGATAAACCTCCATAACCAAACCCTAATAATTCAATGCGGTTCAATGTATCCTTTTGATATCTAATCAGGCACATAGGAGGGCGACTCCCTCCAAAAAATTCAAACTGATAATTGAACAAATATAGCTTCCTTTCAGAGGAAAATAAATCATAATAACAACAAAAACATAAGAGAACAGACCAATTATTTTAGATACAACAAACAAAGCTGCATCGTGAAAGTATAGACAAATTACACTCGAGTAAAGTTTTTTTCTGGTAATACCTGCGTTTGAAGGAGGTGGTGCAAAGGGTGATTTCGTGAGATGAAATTAAGGAAGTAATTGCAAAAAGGAGAGTGATAGCAGCAGCAGAAGCAGCAACAGCAGCGGCGAAATTGCGGAGTACAGAGTCTTTCCACCGTCTCCTCCGCCACGGGGAGGATTATATTCACACTTAAGAAGCAGGGTTTATTGTTCAATGTTTTGCTGCCATTCTCATTCAGCTATAAAGTTCGGCCTATTTTCCTTTCCTTAAGCCATCTCTCTTTCTCTAATGAACCCAGCCCAGCTTGATTTATCCCGGGTAAAGTACACAAATGGTCATTTGACTATAGTATACTGCTTTGTTGAGTCACTGACTATTAAAAGTTATAAAATAATCTTTCAATTATTGTGAGTTATTTTGTTGAGTCCCTCAATTATTAAAAGTTATAAAACGATCACCTGACTTTTCATTATGTTCCAAACTCGTACTTTTCTGTTAAAAAATTAATGGCGATTTGAGTTGAACATTAACATGATTATTGAGATATGATAAAATCTAATTTATAATCTCAAACTACTATCATATCTCAGTCATCATATTAATATTTAGCTCAGATGATCGTTAATTTTTAACAAAAAATGACAAGTTTAGAACATAATAAATAGTCGGGTGATCATTTTGTAACTTTTAAAGGGACTCAACAAAATAACTCCCTATAGTGGGGGATCATTTTGTAACTTCTAATAGTCAGAGGATCATTTTGTATCTTTTAATAGTCGGAGGACTTAACAAAACTGTATCCCATAGTCGAGAGACCATTTGTGTACTTTACCCATTTATCCCATCTATTTAATTTTTGGCTTGATTCCACATTTACACTAAAACTATACTTTTCTTCCTAGTTTACCCCTTAAATTGGTATCATTTTAAGCTCAAATTATTTAAAAAAAGTGGTCAATCAAAAATGGACAAGTGGCACACTCTTATTGGACATCAATAACACAAAAATAATAGTTTAAAAGGAAAAAGAGATGAAAATAATATTTTAAGGAACAATTTAAGAAATAAGATTAGGATTCAAAGTGAGAAATATATATATATATATATAAAGAAAAATGGTGAATAAACCTTATGTTCCATAAAAAAAACACTTACTCTTTTGAGAAATATTCATTTATCTTTTAGCATGCGTTTCGAAGAGAATTTTAAAATATTAGTATTTAAAATTATTTTTAGGAAAATTTTATTTAATTTTTATATATATTTTTAAATAATATCAATGAATAGTAAAAATAATTATATTAAAATTAAAAATATATAATAAAAATATCATTATATCATTAAAAATATATAAATATTTTACTGATATAAAATATAAAAATATATTAAAATTAAATTAAAAGATATTTTAAACCTTAAGATTTTTATTTTACAATGGGGATCATGCATGTAATTTTTTTAATAGTCTAGATGATCACAATGTATTATATGTTC